TCTAGAGAGCGCTAGAGGCCCCACTAAGTCTGCATGAATGACTCTGTATGGTTTCTTGGCCTCTCTCTCAGACGCTGTACCTTTGGGAGCTTGCCTTGCCTTACTCTCCGCACAAGAAACACATTTCATGTGGTGGGGACATTCTTTAAATTTCATACCCTGAACCATATCAGGCATTTTTGCCACAGCCTGGAAATTCAAATGACCATAAACACGGTGGTAATAATGAATACATTGGTCATGCAACTTCTCATTCTTATCAACAGACAAATTGCAACACTCTTTCTCAGTTGCTTCTGCAGTACCTGTACCTGAAACAAAAGGCAATTGGTACAGACCATTTACACATTTTGCATACAGAATGAGCTTGCCATCTCGACGAATTTCACAGTGAGATTTAGCAAACACCACCTTAAACCCTTGACGATCAAGCTGGGAAACACTCAACAAATTGTCCTGAATATCAGGCGCATACAGGACATTCTTAATTGTTGCATTCAGGCTCTTTAAAAACACAGTTCCCTGAGCCAAACTCGTGAGGACAGTCCCATCTGCTTGATGAATTTCTTTCTCTTGCTTCTCAAGATGAACAAAGAGATCCTTATCTTTGGCCACGTGGTTTGAACAGCCAGAGTCGACCACGAAGAAACTCCACCCACGTTGATTGGAGCAGCGAGAGATCAAAGCCTTTGAAGTAGCAGGTGCTTGGGGATTTCGTCCTCCTCCCCCTCTGCCTCTGAAGTTTCCCTTCTTCTTTGAAGTTTTCTTGCTGCACTGAAAACTCAAATGGCCTTGTGCTCCACACGAAAAGCACCGCTTCAACTTTAGTGCTTTAACAGCAGCAGTTTCACTTTCACTTTCCCCTGCTGGAGACTTAGGCACATTTTCAAGCACATTTTTAACAGCACCATTTTCCCGGCTTTCTCTAACAGCCTGTCTTCGATCCCACTCATTCAAGAGCACGCTAGACACATAATCTTCCGTTAGCCGGTCAGAAGGCATGGTAGAAATCTGGGCAGCTACTCCATCGTAAGAATCGTCTAGGCTATTGATCATATTGCAAACACAGCCTCTGAAATAGCCAGGTCTCGCTGAACAAGGTCCTGTCTGAGACGCTTTAACTGAGATAGATGGCTAGGCAAATCACCACCTTTCTCCAACTGCAGCCTGCACAGCTTCTTGAAGAAAATCACACTGGAACCAGCATTCTGCCTCAAATGCATATCTCTTAACTTATGCCAAACAGCTCGTGCAGTCTCTTGACCCTCTAAGTTCACCAGCAAGTGGTCTGAAACACTCAAAACAATTGTCCCTCGGGCTCTCATATCTGCAGCATGCCACTCAGGCCATTCATCATCATCCTTATCGGGAGGGTCATCTTCTATCGTGTGAAATAGCTTTTCCCTCTGTAAAAGCGCTTTCATCTTGACCTGCCAAACTGCATAGGTCTCAGGCGTGAGGAGAGGAAAGGACAGAGCCATCTGGCCAGAAAGTGCACAGGCCATGTCTGCTATTACTTAGAGCAAGACACTTCCCTCGTGCAACACAGATAAAGCCTTGGATCCTTCAGCCACTCTCTCTCCCACTTAGAGCGCAATTAACAGGCAAACAGGGATGCTATCTTCTTTCTTTGGCAGTCAGCAACATACCTCCATAAATCAAGCAGCAGCAACAGCAACAGCGGCAGCTTGAACACTCTGCTCCAAAACAGCTCTGCTTCTGGGCACCACAAAACAGTCCAGCATGCAGTGTCCGTTCCGCCGTCCGGCAATCAGCAACAGAAGCCTCTGGCGACTGGGACGACTGGTACAACTGGAACAACGACTGGTCAGACGACTGGGACAACGACTGGGCCCATAACCGATGTCAGCATCGCCCTTGAGCCAGTGCCACTAACTGGACTCATCCACTTCAGCCCCGACTGGGCTAGGCGAGCTGGGTAGCACTTCCAGAGACCACCTTCTGCACAGGAACAGGTCAAAGTGCTGTGGACTCACAGCTTAGAGTTGTGAGCACCGGATTCACTTCCACAAGAAGACAGTCGTCGCACAGCAGAGTACAGCAGAGTCTAGCAGAGTATATAAACAACTCGGAGAGCAGCTCTGTAGAATATCTTCTTTATTCTATCTACAACTATACAAACTATATACAGAGCTTAATAGGTCTAAGCATAAAAGAATGCTGCACTGCACTGAGTGTCTGCAGCTGCTCTTAGCAGCAACCTTATCTCTACACACGATCTCTAACACTCAGTCTTTCTCTCTCTCTCCGACACTGACTGACTGACTGACTTGGTGCTGGAGCAGAATAAGGAAGATATTCTACAGAGATAAAAGCGGTGGGGCTGGAGAAATTGCGGGGGGGGGGAGAGGAAATCAAGAGATTGGCCGTCGCCCCCAATATACAAAGCAGGGGGGCCGCTCAAGAGATTCCCCCACCCCGACAATCTTCCTAGGATGTGCCCCCCCAAATACAAAGCAGGGGTGGAGGAAAGCCAAACCTCCCCGCTCAAGAGATCCCCCCCCCAAATATTTATAGAATGTGCCCAATACAAAGCAGGGGGGCTGCAGAATCCCAAAGCTCCCTGCTAAAGAGATTCGGGCCCCCCCAAATCTTTATAGAATGTGCCCCCCAATATTCTTCAGTTGGCCTTGCTAGCTAGGGATGATGGGAGTTGTAGTCCAACATCATCTGGGGACCCACATGTTGTGAACAGCTGATATATGGCATTGCATATATATATATATATATATATATATATATATATATATATATATTGTACAGGTATTTTATTAATGTGGTTAGACTACAACTCCCATCATCCCTCACCACTGGCCCTGTTAGCAAGGGATGATGGGAGTTGCAGTCCAACAACATCTGGGGAGTCACAGCTGCTAGTCTCTGCTTCTCAGTTTGTATTGTATAATTTTATGCACTGCGGCTTGCCATTGTTTTATTGGTTGTGGTATAGAAAGTATTTCTCTTTAACTTTTATATGTTTATATGGATATATAACTTTTATATGTTATATGGATTTCTCTTGAACTTTTATACATTGATCTTATTCTCTTGGACTAGTCTAATAATGGTTGAATGTTCCTTTATTGGATGTTGCTTGCTTATTTTAAAGTTTTCTTTTATTATCACATTTTTCTATTGCATCTGATTATCAGGTGCACATTTTTTGCTTCTCTAGCTTGCAAACCGCCTTGAGTCTTGTAAGGTAGAAAGACAGTATACAAATAAAAAATGATGATGATAATTTATTATTTATGATGATAATTTCTCTCCTTCTTTCCTTCTTCCTGGGAGGTTCGGAGGCCCATCGGTCCTGGGTTCCAGATGCGAGATTGCTCCCTTGCGGTGGGTCAGACTACATGACCCGGGCTCCCTTTTCCAGCTCTTCCATCCCGGGCTCCCGATTCTGGGCAGCAGACCCTCCCCCCCAAAATACACACACACCCTAGCTGATTTTCAGATTTCCCTTGAATAACCTCCCAAAAAACCCCACAGTTATATATTATAATGATATAATATATAATATATGATAATATTATAATAACCCCTCAAAAAACCCACAATTATATATTATAATTATATATAAATACATGTGTGTGTGTGTGTGTGTGTGTGTGTGTATAATAACCCCCCCCAACCCCCCCCCCCACAATTTCAACTGGAGATCCGGTTGAAAAATCCCGCTGATACAGGATTATTGTAATTATTGTTATGTTTACAGGAGATGATTGGATGAGCAGGTTTGAGCAGGAATTTGGATAGGCAGAAGATATTAGAAATTCAATTTAAATTCATCTAATAATCTACTTCTTTCCCCCTCTTTCTGCAGTTCCTTACATTTAATAATAATAATAATAATAATAATAAACTTTTATTTACATTTTATTTTAATAATAATAATCAAAAAATCCACAGAATCCTTGGGAGGAGATACCCAAATTCCAGTCTGCAATTCAAGATGTTAGGTAAATATGTGAGAAATGATTTCAGACGAGTGAAAATGCTAGCAGGATTCAAGTAAATAACAACAACAACAACAATATCAATCATAATATCAACAACAATAATATTAATAAAATCAATAATAATAATATCAATAAAATCAATAATAATAAAATCAATAATAATAATAACAACTTATTTATACCCCGCTACCCTGGGTTTCTGACAACATAATGTACGATAAAGGGAAGATCAGGGGAGGAGTGGATCTCTAAGAGACCCGAATGGATCTCTAAGAAGGGAGGAAGTCAGCTCAATGGATCCATGGGAATAGGCAGGAATGTTGGGGAAATGAAAGGAAGCAGGGAAGAGGCGGTTGGGAAGTCTTGGAAAGGAAGGACGGAAGGAAGGAAGGAAGGAAGGAAGGAAGGAAGGAAGGAAGGAAGGATCAAGGGAAGCATGGAAGGAAGGATGGAAAGAAGGAAGGAAAGAAGGAAAAAAGGAAGGACAGACGGAAGGATGGAAAGAAGGAAGGAAGGAAGGAAGTCGCCCCTCCCCCAAAAAATGAGTGATCCCCAAAGTGGACAAAAGGAAGAGAAGCAGATATATGTACATGGACAGGATGGTCAGTCAGTCAGCCCCCCAAATCGAGCAAGCCCCAACGTGGACAACCGGAAGCAGAGCACTGTACACGGACGGGATTCTCCCAGTTGCGCCCAGCTGCCTCCTCTCTCGGGAAAGCGGGAAAGCCTGGCTTTCCTGGGAGGGTGTCCTTTGAAGGGGTGCAAGGAAACAGGAAGTGGGCACCGAAGGCACACCAGAGCTCAGTCTCTGTCCATCTGTGGCGTGTGGGCGGGGTCACTTCCTCAGCGCCGGTCCCCAAGGGAGGTCCATGGGAGAAGAAGATAAAGAGCTGGTCCATTCCGAGGCCCCTGGGGGAGTCTGAGAGGGGGTGGGCAGGAAAGAAGTGACGGGTTGGGGTGGGGCCCCCCAAGTCTCCCCTCGGGCATCTCGGCTGCCCCTTCCCAAGCTGGCGGCCCTCACACCACGGTGCTGACCGAGGGGTCCGAGAGGTTGAGCTGCCCCGCGAGGTCGGTGGGGTGGTACTGCTGCGGGGGAGACAAAAGACAAGACACAGGGGAGGGCCGGCGATCAGGCAGAGGCGGGCCAGAGTGCAGCTGAGACACACGCCACCCCTGCAGGCCGCCGCCGCCCCGGCAGGAAACCGCTCAAGGAAGATTCTGTGCCTCCGAACCGGGATGCTTTCAAGGCTGCGAGCACCAAGCGGGGAATCTCCGGAGATCCACTCTCTTCCCACAAAAAATGTCAGGGTGCCACAATGTTGGCGGAGCCAAATGTAGGGACACCCTTCCCATTTTAGGGACCCTGACATACTGCCACCCTACTAATTTTGGAACCCTGACCTGTGTCGTCATGTCCCGCCCCCTGTTTCCATTCGGCTCAGCTCCTTCCCGGTTGGAGCGCATCGTCCCTCAGGGATCTCCCCGGGGGGGCAGCCACATGGGGCAGGGGCCCACTCCCCCACGCAGCGCAGCCCCTTCCCCCGGAAAGCAGCACCCGCTAGCTCAGCCATTTCGGGCCGATCCCCTTTGGAACCACCCGGCAGCTTCGACCCCTTGGCAATTTTGGGTCGATCCCCTTCGAAATCTGCCGACGACTCTCCCTTTGTGGTCGCCGAGAAACTCCCTCCGGGAAAAAAGCTCATCGACTCGGCTCGCAAAGGAGTCACTTTTTCCAAGATGGCCGGCCCTACTCCTCTCCCGCCCGGCCCTTTTCTGGGATGTCCCGGAAGGGGACGACCGGTTGTTCCCCCCACCAGCACCACCACCCATCCCACAAGATCAAACAGGACTTTGGATACAGGACAAAAATGCATCAACATTCACAACAAGATCCCACCCTTTGTGGAGGAACTCCTGAAGCCGGGAATTCTCTACAGGGCTTTATCTGCAGCTCACGGACTCTGGGTGTGGCGGCCTCGCGGGGGTGTCTGTAGGGAGCAGGCGCATCAAAGGGATGGTCTATTACATCGAAAGCCGGCTTCGAACCCGGGGACACCGCCGAAACCACCACCCCGGGAAAGCGGGACTCCGCCCGGCCAACCCGGCCAACCCGGAGCTGCGTTTCTCCTCCTCCTCCTCCTCCCTCCGCCCTCCATGCTGGAATGCCTAGAAGGGAAAGCCACCCGAGGAAGCAGACCCTCCAAGCATCCATCTCTCTCCCAGGATAGAAGAATCCAGCCCGGTTTCCGCCGGGATCCCGGAAGGTTCCGCTGTTCCTGGGACGTCCCTATTTTCATCAGAGAAACGTTGAAAGGGGTGGAATAGGACGTCCCTATTTTCATGGGAGAAATGTCGGTGGGGATGGAATAGGACGTCCCTATTTCCATCAGAGAAATGTCGGAGGCTATGCAAATGCCCACCGCCGAGGGAGAGACATTTTTTATAAATCCCTGCGGTTACGAACGGGAGGAATAAACGGAGAGTCATGCAGGGGGAGTTTGCGAAGGCGGGAAGCCATCTTTTCCGGCCGAGACCTTTCCCCTTCTGGAATGCCACCCTCCCAGGTGTCCTTTTGATGGGGAGAGAAAGAGAGGGGGGAAAATCAGAATTTCAAGATGGCTGAGAAGTTGGCTTTCACCCCAGGTGGACCTTTCGATATCTGGGACCTTTGGAAAGATGCCAAAGGGGGGGGGATGAGGTCGAACCCGATGCCCCGCCAACTCAGATACATGCATAATTGAGGGTCTTCAAAATGGGCCGGTGGTTTGGAGAGGGAGAGGGAACTTTCCTGCCCACGTGGCGACCGTTCCAGAAAGCATGCCGTTCCATGCACAATGGGGAAAATATCTGGGAATTAAATCAAATTTTGTGGAATGATTTGGACGGGTTGCTTTGCTGCAATCGGCTCCCTGGAAACAGCTGGAATCCTGCAAATGTGGATCAGAATCCTGATTTAATAATTTTGACAGATTGCTTTGGTGTAATCTGCTCCTTGAAAATAGCTGGAATTCTGCAAATGTTGATTAGACATGGGAGGGAGGAATGAATGGATGGATGGATATTCAGAGGAAGGAATAAGTGGATGGATATTCAGAGGAAGGAATAAAGGGATGGATATTCAGCAGAACAAGGGAATGGATGGGAGGAAGGAAGGAATGGATGAATATTCAGCGGAATGAGGGAATGGATGGGAGGGAGGAATAAATTCAGCAAAATGAGGTGGAGCCGGAATGCCACGGAGTGATGGCTTGGGACACCCAACAAGGAAGAACCTGCCGTGGCAAATGGACACAAAATCGGGAAATGGATTAAAAATAAATAAAAAGGGATGAGAACGGATTGACATGCTGTTAAACTGCTTTTTAATTCTGTTTCCTCCCTTTATGGTCTTGATTTATGGGCTACTATAACCAGTGTGGTGTAGTGGTTAAGAGCGGTAGTCTTGTAATCTAGGGAACCGAGTTCGCGTCTCCGCTCCTCCACATGCAGCTGCTGGGTGACCTTGGGCCAGTCACACTTCTCTGAAGTCTCTCAGCCCCACTCACCTCACAGGGTGTTTGTTGTGGGGGAGAAAGGTAAAGGAGCATGTTAGCCGCTTTGAGACTCCTTAAAGGGAGTGAAAGGCGGAATATCAAATCCAAACTCTTCTTCTTCTACTACGGGATGCGGGTCGCGCTGTGGGTTAAACCACAGCGCCTAGGACTGGCTGATCAGAAGGTCAGCGGTTCAAATCCCCGCGACGGGGTGAGCTCCCGTTTCTCAGTCCCTGCTCCTGCCAACCTAGCAGTTCGAAAGCACCTCAAAGTGCAAGTAGATAAATAGGTACTGCTCCGGTGGGAAGGTAAACAGCGTTTCCGTGCGCTGCTCTTGTTCGCCAGAAGCGGCTTAGTCATGCTGGCCACGTGACCCAGAAGCTGTACGCCGGCTCCCTCGGCCAATAAAGCGAGATGAGTGCCACAACCCCAGAGTCGTCCGGGACTGGACCTAATGGTCAGGGGTCCCTTTACCTTTTTATAGGCTACTACTACTACTGCTAATAGTAATTAATAATAAAATAAAATAATAGTAATAATAATAATCGTTCTGATGTTTCTTCTCTTTATGGGCTTGATTTATGGGCTACTACTAAAATGAGGCTGCATTTTAAGCTGTATTTAAATTAACTGTTCTTGGGTTTTTCCTATTATGTTTTCTTGTAATTTATATTTGGTGTTAGCTGCCCTGAGCCTGGCCCTGGCTGGGGAGGGCGGGGTATAAATAAAAAGTATTATTATTATTATTATTATTACTAAATTAATTATTATGTTTTTATTAGAATTGTTTTTACTGGTTTTGTAATGTGTGTCTTTTTAAATATATATTTTTTTCAATTATTTTTTTTCTGTTTTACAATCTTGAATACTCATTTAAACATCCTTGAAATTCAAGGGTGTTTTAATGTGTTTTTTTGGGGGGGGCTGTGACGGTGATCTTGGCACTGATATGGGAGGATTTGATGAGGAAATTCGGAGGAGTAGCGGTGAGGAATATTCAGGGCTGGTCTCCAAGAAAATGACAGTGATCTTAGCATTGATACAGGAGAATTTTCAGATGAAATCCTGAGCGGAAACAGTGAGCAATATTTGGGGCTGATCCGAGAGAGGGACAGCAATCTTCACATTGATACAGGAGGATGTTCAGAGGAAATTGTAGCCCAACGCCTTTTGGAATAAGTTTGAGAAATCATGGGAGAGGTTTTGTGAAATATATTAACTACCATTAATAATAATAATAATAAGTATTATTATTATTATTTATTATTTTATTTCTGCTGCATCAAACCAACACAGCTGCCTACCTGGTGATAATAATGATAATGATGATGATTTTATATATATATATATATTATTATATTATATTATATTATATTATATTATATTATATTATTATATTATATTATATTATATTATATTATATTATATTATATTATTATATTATATTTTTATCATCACCACCCCCACCCCCACAATTATTGTTGCCAAAGAGCCATAACATAAATTAATAATAATAATACCCCACTCATCTGACTGGGGAACTGCCTGCACATAGGAATACTGCAGAAAGTCTGCAGATTGTGGAAGTTCAGGTTGTCCTGCCTTGGCCTCATTCCCAGCCTATCAACAGATTGGGATGAGGGATCCTAACAGATATCCCAGGGTCCCTATTTTGCAGGGACAGCCCAAGATCTGAAGAAGCCATGGCAGTTTCCGTTGGGTCCGGGGTTGATCCCGCTTTTCCTAAGGACATTCCTATTTTCATGGGAGAAACGTTGGCAGATAGGGAATAGGACGTCCATATTTTCATGGGGGAAATGTCAGAGGGGATTGTAAGAGGTCTGTATTTTCATGGGAGAAATGTTGGGAGGTACCAAATAGGACGTCCATATTTTCATGGGAGAAATGTCGGCAGGTATGGAACAGGACAGGGGTTGGCAATTTTTTCTAGCAGCCGGCCGGTCTAGTGTACCACAGACCTTGTGGCGGGCTGGAGAAGTGGAACTGGGGGGTGGAGCTGGAAGAAGAGGCAAGGGGGGTCAAATTGTCCTCCTCTCCACCCCCCAGCCCCAGCTTCCCAGGGGCTGCTGCCACTGCCACCGCCGCTTCTCGTGAGTAGGCAGAGTGAGCTTGTTCGCTCGCTCTCTGGCCCGTAGAATAAGGTGACCAGATTTCCCCCCATGAATCCGGGGATGCTTTTCAATCTCCATGGATTTTGTAGGATTTGTAAATCCGGGGACGGTCCCTGGGAAACAGGGACACCTGGGAACCTTACCCTAGGGGCACCAGGGCGGCAGGTGGCAGTGGCAGAAGAGGCCGAGCGGCGGCGGGAGGAAGAGGCGTAGTGAAGCCAGAACCCAGGATTATTGGCAACAACGATGGGACAAAGAGGCCGAGAGGTGGCGGCTCGACCAATCCCACACTGCGCCCAGATCCAAGCACAGGGTGGGGCCGTTCATGCCGATCAAATGCCGCCAGAGCAAACCGGGTGTGGCGTTGGAGCGGCTGAGCCGCCACCGCTCTTGGTCCCATCAGTGTTGCCGAGAATTACGGATCCGGCTTCCCGGATTGAGGACCCGGGTAGGCCTGATACATAGCTGTCAATGGTTCCCTTTTTTAAAGGGAAATTCCCTTATTCCAAATAGGATTCCTTGCAAGAAAAAGGAAAAGTTGACAGCTATGGCCGGATCTGGCCCGGGGGGACTTGGGTTGCCGGTTCTGTCGGGTCAATGTCAGAGAGGATGGCCAGACGCCCCTGTTTCCACGGGAGAAACATTGGCGCGGGCTAAGCAATGGAGCTCGGCCGTCCGCCCGACGACGGAGGGCCCCTCCCCCGCCTTGTCGTTTCCAAGGAAGCCACGGACGGAAAGCACAGGTAAAGAAGGTGACGAGAGACACTGCGCCAGGCGAGGCCATGACCCTTGCCTGAATCCCACAGAAAGTGCAGAGGCGGGAGACGGCTGGAGATGGCGGGGCAGGGGACGGACGAGGGGAAGACGGCACGGCGGACCGCTTTCCGGGCATGGACCAGGACGGGAAGGACTGGAAATCAAAAGGGGGGGAAAGAAAAATCTGGGTTTTTCAGGGGGTCGGAACAGAAAGGAAAACAAACCACGTACGGTGAGAAGAGGGAGCCCTTGATCTTTGGGACAGACGGTGGAGACGGACTGACAGAGGACGGACACGGGGCCATGGCAGCTGTGAGATGGGGCGGTTGATGGGATGGCAGGAGAAAGAGAGAGAGAAAGAAGGAGGGCACAACTGGTTGTCTTCTTCTTACCGTGTCTCTGCAGGACCTACGGCTCTTGAAGCTGTTGGCCAGCGTGGATGTGATGGACCTAAAAGTGGTTTTCATTCTAGGGCCTGGTTCTGCTCTAGCACTTGGTCTATCCTAAAACGAACATGTACATAAGCGGTTAGATCTCCGGACGGCCGCCACCGGCCGCCGCGTCTACACTGTGCCTTGCTTTCACGGGCTGCCTTGCTCGCCTGGTGTGCTCCTCCTGCCCTACAGGGCGGCCGGGATCCGGAGGGCCCCTCCGAGCGCTGACCTTCCGAGCGGCCATCTTAGGCTCGGCCGGTCTTGGGAGCTGACCCAGACTCTGAGCGGATCCACTGTCCTTTTCACGGACATACCTGAATTACACGGGACGGGGTGGGAGAAGATCCCCTTCTTGGAATGGAATCGGAAGTCCCTCTTTTCATGGAAGGGGGAGGAACCAGACATTCCTCTCCCCCAACTCCCGGAGAAATGTCAGAGAGGATGTACAGTTGCTCTCAAACCATCCCATCTTTGGGGCAAACGGGGCAGGTTCCCGCCGAGAGGGCGATTTTGGAGGTCTTGGACGGGGTGGTTCGGGTCGGAAACACTCCAAGCATTGGTGGGAGGGGGTGGTAGGAAGACCCTGTTTTCTGGAGAGGAACGTCATGGTAGGATGTCCATAATTTGGTGGTGGGACTGTCAGAGAGGATGGTAGGATGTCCATAATTTCGTGGTAGGAATGTCAGAAAGTGTGGTAGGACGTCCATAATTTCGTGGAAGGAACGTCAGAAAGTGTGATAGGACGTCCATAATTTCGTGGGAGGAATGTCAGAGGGGATGGTAGAACATCCATGATTTCATGGGAAGAACGTCAGAGAGGATGGTAGGACGTCCATAATTTCATGGGAAGAACGTCAGAAGGTATGGTAGGACATCCATAATTGCATGGAACATCAGAAAGGTTGCTAGGATGTCCATAATTTCATGGGAGGAACGTCAAAGGAGATGGTAGGACGTCCATAATTTCATGGGAAGAACGTCAGAAAGGGTGCTAGGATGTCCATAATTTCATGGGAAGAACGTCAGAAAGGGTGCTAGGACATCCATAATTTCATGGTAGGACGTTCATAATTTCATGGGCGAACATCAGAAAGGGTGGAAGTACGTCCAACGGAAACTATACGTGAGGACCCTTTATGTGGGGTTGGGGGGTGGGGCGGGGGCGGGGCTACGAGCATCGTTGGGTTCCTGCAGCATCTCTGAGGGCCTCCTATCAGGATCTTGGAGAGGAGGGGCCCCCACCCTATTGGGGGCCGGGGATGGTCCCTGCCGGTCGCTGGCACCCCCTTCCTTCCATCTTCTAGAGGGGGGGAGAGACTTTTTCCACCTACCCCTAAATAAATAGGACCGGGGCCTTTGGTCAAGGCAGGTCCTACGGCCAGGAGATAGAGAGAAGACTGCATCAGAAGAGAAGGGAGGTCATTGTATGTTAATGGGGTGGAATGGGGGGGGTAAAAAATCAGAATTAAAAAAGAAAGGAAAACCAATATTGGGGGGAGGGGGTTTGAAAAGGGTATATAGGTCTCCTGAAACCGGCCGCCGGAAGCTGGGGGCTGCTTTAAGGAGGGATCCCGGGCAGGAATCCAAGAGGGGAGTTAAATGGGGAGGAGAGAGCTGAGGGTTGGGGGGGCGGAGCAGGAATGTAAGCCATCAAGGAGGGGGGGGGAGAGGCCAGGGAATCAAGGGTAGCGGGCGGGCGGGAGGGAACCAGACCTGGTTTTGGGGGGGTTGGGGGGCATTTTTGGGAGTGGAACCCCATTTCTGACCCCACCCCTTTGGGCTATGGTGGATTTTGGGGGGGTTTTAGGGGAGGGGGTCCCCGATCTGAAGCCTCTGTATCCTCCCCTTGGGGAACCCCATTTCTGACCACTCCCCCTATGGATTTAGGGATTTTTTGGGGGGGAGAGACCAGGTCTGGCTCCTCCACATCTGGGTTGGGGGGCCAACTGGAAATGAATCCATTTCCTGCTTCTGTTCCCGATGTTCCTCTTCCCCGCCCCCACTCCCCTGTGCATGCATAGGAAAAAAGCAATTAATAGGATGGAATGGATGAAGATCTATATCTAAATATATATAGATAGGGAGATACCCCCCATATATATATACATATATACATATATTGATCTAGAGGTATCAGTGCGTGGCTTGCCACAGTGTTGCGCCATGGCGGAAGGGTGACCAAAACCAAATAATAATAATAATAATAACAACAATTTATTAATTCTACCCTGCCCATGATTTCAAATAATAATTTGAAAAGAAACACCCATGTGTGTGCATATATATACACACACATACATATACATATATACATTATATATATATTATATGCAATATTTATGGTTATATATATATTATATTTATATATATTATATACACATAGATAAATTATATATATATATACTATATATATATATATATATATACTATATTATATATATATAGGCATATATAAATAATTTATATATTATATACATATTCATATATATACACACACACATATATATAATTATATATATAATATGTATATGTGTATTTATATGTATATGTATGTATGCATGTGTGTGTGTGTATACATTTTTTTATTTTTTAAAATTGATTTTTATTTTAATTGATTTTTTAAAATTGGTATTTATTGAACAAAGAAATCTTCCCGCTCGCCTACCTTCTAGCATTGTACTAGTGGCCGGAGGGTTCCTCCTGCGGAAAAGTCTTTCATTGTCAAACGGATCTCTGGAGCGTCGGCTTTCCTCGTCGGCCGTGGGGTGGGGTGGGTGGGCATGCTCGGCCCATGGCCCCCACCCAAAAAATCCTGGACCCCCCATATCTCGGACAGCCCCCCAAACCCCGGACCGGACCTGCCGTCAACTCAGGGAAGTGTTTCTCCTCTGTAGAAAGTTGGCATGTGAAAAATGGCAGTGACAATTGCGCTCAGGATGCCCTACAAAATTCGAGCCTGCAGGACGCAGGGATGGACAGACCCCAATTGACAGGACGCCCCTATTCCCATTGCAGGGGATCGAATAGGACGCCCCTATTTCCATTGGGGCATTTGCCCCCCTATTTAGGAGGGTAGGGGGCCCTCAAAGGCCTTCCCAGGATGAGTGAGGTCCCCCAGGGGTCATCCAAAGCAACCCTCCGCCCTTCTGGAAGGAGTGACTCTTATGGGGTTCCCCCACCCCATAAGTGGGGGCCACGGAGAGAGCGTCCCCCTAATACTACTCCCCTTCGGCACCGTAGTGACTGTTGGGGTGAAGGAATGGGAAATGGAAAAAGACCTCCAAATTAAAAAACGGAAATTAAAAAATGGAAGTCCCACATGTGTTGGTGTTTTTTCCGGCGGTTTTGTGGGTTACCTGCCCCCCGTCAGAGGTCTCTTCTCCTCCCAAAAATGGCCTCTTCCTACCTGTAGGTTCTTCCTCCAGACGTTGACGGCAGCAAACGCCAACTGCATCTGCTTCCGTCGGGCGTCCTTGTGCCTCTTGTAGGCAATTTCGATGAAGATCAGGAAGATTCCGGCCACGATCCCACCGGCCACCAGCATGAAGACACCTGGGAGGGGTCGAAATGCGGGAGGAAGAAGGGTCAGAGAGCTGGGTTCGAAGGAAGCGCGCACACACACGCCGCCACCACAGTTGAGGGTCGTCCAGGAAGCAGAGTGAGAATCGTAATCATGGCGGCAATTGTCGTGATAGTAATAACGATGGGGATCCGGAATAAGAATAGGAATCACAAATGACAATCGTAAGAAGAAGGATAGCGATAGGGATAGGGATACTTACAAATGGTGGTGGTAGCAGTAGTAGTTAGAAATGGCAATAGTAACAATAACAGTAATATATATATAACTAATAATAATAATAATCTGAATCTAAGTTTGGCACTCATCATCATCATCATCATGATCACCACCATCATTATCATGATCACCACCACCACTATCATCTCAATAGTCTTACAGTGGTACCTCGGGTTACATATGCTTCAAGTTACATACGCTTTAGGTTACAGACTCTGCTAAGCCAGAAATACTACCTCGGGTTAAGAACTTTGCTACAGGATGAAAACAGAAATTGTGCTCCGGCGGTGCGGCAGCAGCAGGAGGCCCCATTAGCTAAAGGGGTGCTTCAAGTTAAGAACAGTTTCAGGTTAAGAACGGACCTCCGGAATGAATTAAGTACTTAACCCGAGGTACCACTGTATTCTTAAGAGCCTGGCTAAGCACCCATCACCATCATCCATCACCACCACCATCTCAATATTCTGATTCTTAAGAGCCGGGCTACATACGGGCCTAAACATTTTGTGAATCTAAGTTTGGCGCTCATTATCATCATGATCATGATCACCATCACCATCATCACCATCACCATCACCATCACCATCACCATCACCATCATCTCAATACTCTTATTCTTAACAACCGGGCTAAGCACTGGACATTTTGTGTCTTGCCTTGGGTTGGACTGTGTCCCTCGTACCTCTTCTTCTCCGATCCCTGAGGGAAGGGAGCTCCAGAGGGGATGGGGAGGTCTAGGAACCCACCTGCCATGTTCTCAAAGGTGAGGGTGGCTGGGGCGTTGCTCCTTGAGTCGCACTCCTGGTACCTCACCCACGTCTTGTCCAGCTCTTCCATGAAGCCATTTTCGTGGAGGCTGTGGGACGGGAGGAGAGAGCTGAAGTGGGGGGTACCGCCATCTTGAATAAAATATGGATTGGGGGGTGGGGCGGGAGGCCAGGTGAAGCCCCGCCCCATGACTCTCAAATCTCTTACGGTGACCCAAGGGAGTCCCAGGAAAGCCCACTTCCTGTTCCCTAGACCACTTCCTGTCCTCCAGGAGACCAACCTGGACCAAGAAGGCTCCTCGGCCATCTCTGACAGACCCAGAGGAGGTCAGGCCCAACCGGACTCCCTCTTTCTGGGTTCAATCCCGGAACATCCTGATGTTTGGGGGGCGAGGAACGTCGGAAGGGCCGGCGGGGTTCTGGTTTGATCCTGGAACACCCCAATTTTGGGGGGAGGAACTTTGGAGTGGCTGGCAGCTTTCCGGTTCAAACCCTGGATATTCTATTTTCCCGATTTCCCCCAGAGGGGATGCCTGGACCTTTCTCCCATGAAAAGAGGTCCTCTTGTGTTTCTCCTCCGAAGTGGGAAAGGGAAGTTCCAGGATCGATCCAGGATGCTCAGAGGGTCCTGCGTTCTCCAACCCCACCCCCTTCCCCGGATCATTCCCGTGGGCGGGGGAGAGGGTACGGACTTGAGGATGGCCAGCGAGACGTTCTGCTTCCAGGGACTGTCCTTCCTCATTCCGATTCCAAATCCAGACCGGAAGAAGAGTTCTCCAGTGGTCACCAGGTCGCACTTCTGGGAGGCTTCGAACTCCAGGACGGCCGAGTCCCAGATGAAGGCGTGGAGCTTGCTGGGTGGAGACACAAGTGGGAACAGTAACCAGGAAAAGGGGGTCGACTTCAACGCTCCTGGCAAATTCTAGAAGCCTTCCCTCCCCCTCTTCCAATGGAGGATTTTCTCAGGATGAAGCGGTCCCGAAAGGAAAGGATCAGAAATCCCGGCAAATTCGTTCCCGAGAAATTCCTGCCAAACCTTTCCTGAGAAATACCCGCCAAACCATTTATGAGAAATTCCCACAAAACCATTTCTGAGAAATTCTCACAAAACCATTTATGAGAAATCCCCGCAAACCATTTCTGAGAAATCCCACCAAACCTTTCCTTAGGAATCCCTGCCAAACCATTTCTTAAAAATCCTACCAAACCACTCCTTAGAAATTCCTGCCAAACAATTTCTTTGAAATTCCAGCAAAATGTCTTATATATTTCTGCAAAACAATTTATTAGAAATCCCCGCAAAACATTTTGTTTAGAAATCCCAGGAAAATTTCTTAGAAACCCAGCAAACATTTCTGAGATATCCCAGACAAACAATTTCTTAGAAATCCCAGCCACATTTCTTGGAAATCCCAGCCAAATTTCTTGGAAATCCCAGCAGAATTTCTTAGAAATCTCAGCCAAACAATTTCTTAGAAATCCCAACAAAATTTCTTAGAAATCCCAGCAAAATTTATTAGAAATCCCAGCCAAACAATTTATTAGAAATCCCAGCCAAATTCCCACAAAAATTCTTCGCCTTTGCGTTGGCTTCAAATCAGTGGGTTGTTAATTGGTCAAAATACGTGGAAATTACCTGGATGAAAAATAAAAATAAAAATGGAATCCCATAATCCAACGCCTCTTTCCCCATTGGTCCCCCATGTCCTCCCAGCCCACCCGCCCGGAAAAGTCAAAGGAGTCCAACTCACTTGTCCCGGACGGCCTGGATGGCTTCGGCGGCGCTTTCATAGTTATGCTTCTCCATGTGGCGGTACATGGTGCTGAGCTCCACCTGCCGGCGGAAGTAGATGTCCACCGAGCTCTGCTTGACCGTGGCGTAGATGAATTTGTCGGACGGGTTGCGCAGCTGGGAGAGGGGAAGGTAGGACGTCCGTATTTTGGTGGGCGAAATGTCAGAAGGGGTGGTAGGACGTCCATAATTTCATGGGAGAAATGCTAGAGGGGATGGTAGGACGTCCCTATTCTCATGGGATAAATGTTAGAGAAGATGGTAGGACGTCCATTTTTTCATAGGAGACATGTCGGAGGCTTGGTGTTCTCCTTCCATGCTTACCCTGGGATCATTGATGCCCGTGATCCGTTCCTCGGGTCTGTCCAACACCAGGAAGGCCGCCAGGTTGGCAGTGTAAGAGGCCACGATGATCATGGCGAATCCAGCCCACACCATCCCCAGGATCCGTGCGGAGAAGCTCCGGGGAGCGCCTGGAAGAGATAGGGCAGCTCGGGATGGTCCTCAAGCATCTGAAGGACCGAAACCCTGGGGAGATAGACCTCACCCAAGCTCTCTAGTGCCACACCTCGAGAAGACAGATAGTCTTCTGGGGAAGAACCCAGAGGGGAAGAAGCTGAGTTGGACATCCCTATTCTCGTGGGAGAAATGACGGAAGTCGGAGAAGATGGTAGGACGTCCATATTTTCATCAATGTCAAACGAGATGGTAGGACCTCCATATCAATGTCAAAGGGGATGGTAGGACGTCCATATTTTCATCCATGTCAAAGGGGATGGTGGGACCTCCCTATTTTCATGGGAGAAATATCGGAGAAGATATGGGGTCGGTGGCACCAGCCTTTGCTTTGCAGCCTCTTACGGACGGACCCATCCAGATCATTCCCACTGGAGAGACTCACCTTCTCCGATGCCAGAGTTGAGCAAGACTCCCCAGGAGAACCACATGGCAGATGACAGGGTCAGGGCATCCTCTTCCTCTTCCTCGCTGTTGACTTTGAAGCGGCCGAAGGGGCTGCAAGAGAGCAAGCGGGGCCAGCGGTCAGCCGTCCATCAAGTAGCAGGTCTTAGAAGATGCCCCATGGAAAGAAGCTTCTGGACCTCACGGGTGCGAGGAACTCCAGAAGTCCGGGGAGGACTCCTTGGTTTCCCTCATGTCGTTCGCAGGTGGAATAAGTGATGCAAAGTCAGTGGACAGAGGTCCCTTTGCATCATTGATGGGTACGTAATTTGGTGACGTCTTGAGGAACAGCCCGTCCAGTTCCTTGTCCCTGCCCCCATTCATGGGTGGGAGGAAGCAGAGCTGGATAACTTTTCCTTGCTCCTCTGGGATGAGGAGGAGACCAGGAAGACCAAGGGGTAGAGGAAAGAGGCGTAGAGGAGGGAGGAGGAGACCAGGAAGACCATGAGCTAGAGGGAGGAGGAAGGAGGAGGAGACTAGGAAGGCCAAGGGGCAGAAGAAAGAGGAGAAGGAGGAGGAAGGAGGAGGAGGAGGAGACCAGGAAGACCAAGGGGTAGAGGAAGAGTTAGAGGGAGGAGGAGGAGGAGGGGAGGAGGAAGGAAGGAGGAGAAGGGAGGAGGAAAATGAAGGAGGAAGGAGGAGGAGGGAGAAGGAGACCAGGAAGACCAAGGGGTAGAAGGAGGGGTAGAGGGATGAGGAGGAGGAGGAGAAGAAAGAGGAGGAGGGAGGAGGAGGGGGAGGGGGAGGAGGAAGAAAGGAGGAGGAGGGGGAGGAGGGGGAGGAGGAGAAGGAAGGAGAAAGGAGGAGGAAGGAGGAGGAGGAGACCAGGAAGACCAAGGGGTAGAAGGAGGAGGTGGTGGAGAAGACGAGGAAGACCAAGGGGTGGCCGCAGTTACCTGAAACGGTCCAGGAGATAGAGCATCACAGCCACCACGTGGACCGAGAGGCCCACCAGGAGCCACAGGGTGCTCTGGAACGGCTGCATGAACGAGTCCAAGGTGCTGCGGGGGATTTCCTGCAACGGAGAACCGGAAGTGGGCGTCAGTAGCTGTGGGAAGACCCCAGCAGGGGTTGCTTAGGGTTCCTCACAAAGGTTGAGGAGAACGGTTCTCCTCTTCTTCTCACCATGCCTTTCAAGGATGGACCTTGATGTCATATATGGGTGGATTTTAATGGATGCTGATTATATTATGTTATATTGTATTATATTCACAAGAAATTCCATCGGGACTTTGCAAAGGGAAGGAGATGGACAACGGGAACGGCTTGACCAAAGCAGAGCGTGGCCACCTCTGTGGACCAAGCCCTCTGGGGGGCACAGTGATGCCTAGTGTTCGTTGGCCATGTCTACCCACCTTCTTCACCAAGATGGTGAGTCCCTGGTACTTAAAGGGCTTGGAGAACTCGATGTACTGGGCCCGCTCGTTGTTGATGGTCAAAGGAGCCACAATCATGTCCGCCTGACCGCTCAAGAGCTCCCCCATCATGCCGTTCCACTCCTTCTTGTTGCTGTTGTTCACCTGTGGTGAGACAGAGCCAGGGTGAGAAGGGCAAGGAGGTCCGTATTTCCATGGGATGAGCGTCGGTGATGATGGTAGAACGTCTGTATTTTCGTGGGATGAATGTGGGAGATGATGGTAGAACGTCCGTAATTTCATGGGATGGATGTGGGAGATGATGGTAGGACGTCCGTATTTTCATGGGATGAATGTCAAAGGGGATGGTAGGAAGTCCATAATTTCATGGGAAGAACATCAGAAAGGATGGTAGGACGTCCATAATTTCATGGGAAGAACCTCAGAGGGGATGGTAGGACGTCCATATTTTTATGGAACAAATGTCAAAGGGGATAGCAGGAAGAAGCTATGGGAAGCAGTTCACGAATGGACAACCCTCCAGCCCTCTCCTGAAGGTTCCTCAGGTCACCCCAGTGTGGGCGGAAAGCCAATGGGGACAGCCAACCGATCCAGGAACGACTTCCCACAGATCCCCTTCTTCAATGGGACGCCGTCTGTCCATCCCCGGCCAAGGGGCTGGACCCTCGGAGGTCTTCTGAGAAGTTGGAGGGTGGCCCGTCCGGCCTTCCCGAGGCCCGCTCACCCGCTCCTGCGTGCCAAACTTCCCGTCGCCCACCAGGTGGACCTCGTAAGTGAAGTTCATGGTCTTGGCCAGCTTGATCAGGAGGTCGACACAGAAGCCATAGCAGCAGAGCATCACGCTGGGGCGGCCTGGTGGGGCAGGAGAAAGGGGGACCATTGAGGCCCGTTCCAGAAGGTCCCCAACGGAGAGGACCTTCTCAATCGCTCCACCTCCCCATTGTTCCTGACCACCGGTCCTGCTAGCTAAGGATCATGGGAGGTGTAGGCCAACCACATCTGGAGGAGCCTGGTCTAGACTAAGAGGATCTCATCTCCACCATGCAGTGCAGACCCTCCCAAGAAGGAGAGAGGCCTGCCGCCCAATGGAGACGCTTGGCGGGGGAGCTTCTGACCCGATGCCCCGGCTGTGGGTTCGAGACATACCCGGCATGGTCTCGTTGGGCCCCGTACAGAGGACCTGCTGCACCAAGCCACCGGTGCTGTTGGTGAGGGCTTTGCACTTGCCATCGGCCAGGGTCTCCTTGACATAGACAAACGGCTCCTGGTGAATGGTGACAATCTGAAAGAGATTGAAAGAGAGCCATCTCCTTCAACCGTTTCTGCTAAGGCTAAGCTTCTAGGCTCTCAACCATCTTGAGATGTTTGAAGGTGGTTCCCATATCTCCTTGGTCTCCTCTTCTCCATCTTCTCCTAAGTTCCTAACCGTTCCTCCGAAGGCTCAGCTTCTAGACCCTCAAACATCTTGAGATGTTTGAAGATGGCCCTAACCTCCACTCAGCCTGTTCTTTTCTGAGCTAAAGAGAGCCATCTCCTTCAACCTTTCCTCTAAGCCTCAGCTTCTAGACCCTCAAACATCTTGAGATGTTTGAAGGTGGCTCCCATATCTCCTCTTCTCCATCTCCTTCAACCGTTCCTCCTAAGGCTGGGCTTCTAGACCCTCAATCATCTTGAGATCTTTGAAAATGGCCCTAACATCTCCTCTCAGCCTCCTCTTTTCTGGGCTAAAAAGAGCCATCTCCTTTGACCGTTCCTCGTAAGCCTCGGCTTCCAGACCCTCAATCATCTTGAGATGTTTGAAGGTGGCTCTCATATCTCTTGCTCTCCTCTTTTCCAGCTCCTTCAACTGTTCCTCACCAGGCTGACATTAGGGAGGGAGGTGGAGCAGAGATGATACCTTGAGCTTGGTAGACATCTCATAGCCCTGGGGCGTCTCGGTTTCTCCTCCTGGCCAGATAATCTTGCGGTCGTTGGGCAGGAACTGCGGAGGTGAGGAGAGAAAGGTTGGGACCAGACCTTCTCTACCAGCCTTCCCTGTTAAACGACCATAGAGTCAGAATGGGACCCCTAAAGGTCAGCCAGTCTGACCCCCGGATCAGGCAGGGCCCTCCCATCCAGGGATACTTACATGGCTGCCGTTGTAGACGCCGACCTGCACCAACTTGTTGTTCTGCAGGTTCATGATGCTGTAGTTGGCGTACTTGCGGTCCCCATCCTCGTTGAACTCCACCCGGCCCGTCACACCCTCGGCGTACTTTGTCTGCATCAGTACCCTAGGGAGAAGGCGGGTTGATCGGGATGCAGAGGGATGGAAATGTCTCCAATGAAATTACGGACGTCTTACCACCCCCTCTGACATTTCTCCCATGAAGTTACGGATGTTCTACCATCTCCTCTGATGTTTATACCACAAAATTACAGATGTCCTACCACCCCTTCTGACATTTATGCCACCAAATTATGGACATCGTACCATCATCTCCAACATTCATCCCATGAAAATACGGGCATCGTACCATCCCCTCTGACGTTTATACCACAAAATTACGGATGTCCTACAATAATCTCTGACGTTTCTCCCATGAAATTCCAGACGCCCCACCACCCCCTCCATAAAGAACCCAGGTCCGAGGTGCCCAGGACGCTCCTACCTCTTGAAGAGTGGCCCCGTCTTCCAGATGTTGGTGTTCCCCACGCACCCCCTGGGTGGGTCGGTGATGTTCTCCTTCTCAAACAAGTCATGGACCGCCTGGGCCACTATGGCCACCGCGTCCCGGATGTGAGCCGACTCGTTCTTGCCGTTCATGAGCTGCAAACCGATGAGACCTGGGACGGGGGTGGGGTGGGGGGTGGAGACAGACGACTGGGTTGGCCGGGACCCCAGAGGTCATCCAGGCCAACCCACTGCAGGGCGGAGACCTCCGAATGGATTCAGAGAAGGGAAGGAGAGCACTACTGGGTGATCAACCATGGGGCAGCTGGACCATGGGGAGGGGTCCCAGGTTACCTTCTGGCGCATTGCGTAGGGCATTGCCGGAGATCTCCCGTTCCCCCACCAGCCAGACGTAGCCGGGACCTGTCATGTTTTCTTTGGCTGCGGCCGTGTAGACAGTGGTGGCGTCATCCTCACTGGAGAAAGAGAAGAAGGCTGTTGGGATGGTAGGACGTCCGTATTTCAGTGGGAGAAACGGCAGAGGAGATGGAATAGGAGGTCCCTATTTCCATGGGAGAAACGTCAGAGGGGATGGTAGGACGTCAGCATTTTAATGGGATAAATGTCAGAGTCGGTGATGGACACCCATAATTCCATGGTAGAAACAGCAGAGGGGATGGTAGAAGTCCATATATTCATGGGATGAATTCTGGAGGGGATGGAATAGGACACCCCTATTTTCATGGGGAAATCGTCGGAGGGGATGCTAGGACATCCCTATTTTCGTGGGATGAATTCTGGCAGGGATGAAATAGGACGTCCCTGTTTTCATGGGATAAATGTCAGAGGCGATAGTGGAAGTCCATTTTTTCATGGGAGAAACATCGGAGGGGCTAGTAGGACATCCCTATTTTCATGGGATGAATTCTGGAAGGGATGGAATAGGAGGTCCCTATTCTCATGGGAGAAACGTCAGAGGGGATGGTACATCGTACATAATTTCGTGGGAGAAAGGTCGGAGGGGGTGGTAGGACGTCCCTATTTCCATGGGATAAATTCTGGAAGGGATGAAATTGGAAGTCCCTATTTTCATGAGACAAACCTCAGAGGGAATGGTAGGACGTCCATAATTTCATGGGAGAAACATCGGAGGAGTTTGAACGAGGGAAAAATGGGGGTCGCCTCCACTCACCTGACCCCAACCATGCCCCGCCGGCCGGCCCTCACCTGGCAGACAAGATGATCACCCTGGCCTCCAGTTCCTTGGCTTCCAGGAGGAGAGACGTCACATTCTTTGTGCCCGGCTCAAACTGAAGGACCTTCTCGGCCTGCAAGGTTGGCGCGAGCAAATGGGGTCAGTCGGCTGGGCCCCGATCCCCCATGCCAGAGCCATGTTTTCCTCAGAAAGATACCTCCTTCTCTCTTTCCAAGGTCTACCTGGAAAGGACTCAGTTGTTCCTCATTTCTTTTCCTCGGTTTTTTTTTCTCCTCCCCCGTTCTTTTTTTTCTTTTTTTCTCCTGGTGGGGTTCATGTCCTCCCCACCCCCCTTAAAAAAATAAAAATCTAATTTTTTATTTTATTTCTATTTTAAAAAAAGAATCATTTTTCTTTGTTGTTGCACTGGGCATGCAAACAGAAGTCACTCCAGCCCCAAAAGAAGGTCGTGCATTGGTACAGGAAAGAGGAAAAAAGGCATATATAGAGATACACAGCGACCGCCAAAGTGATTCCACCTACCGTGGCAAATTGATTTCTTGCTATTTGTTTGTTTTGCAAAATTTTCAAAAAAATGTTTTGCATAATTTGCAAAAAAAAAAAAAAAAAATTCTTGCAAAATTTGCAATTAATTTTTCCAAAATTTGCAAACCTTTTTTTTTTTTTTTTTGCAAATTCTGCAGAATCCCCGCTGTATCGTGAATTGCCGAGCTGCCTTTTTCACTCCGCTGTCACCGTCTTTGCGACGGCGAGGGAGCCCCTCGGGCGGCGACTGCACATATCCATATATTGGTTGGCTGGCTGGTTTCGCAATGTAGTTGACTGCTCAAACACCTGTTGCTTTTCCAAAAGACCAAAAAAAAAAATTTAAAAACAACAACAGGAAAAGGTGAGAAAGGGGGAGGGGAAAAACACGCAAGGGGTCCGCCTTGCAAGGGAATTGAAGTGAGCATCTCGCATTTCCTGTTGGGACAGGAAGGGGCAGAGCAGGAAGAGGAGAGCAGGAAGGGGGAATCAGATGGTCCAGGAGGAAACAAGGGGGTGGGGAATAAACTCGCAAATTCGCTCTGGCTCCACATGCATGGTCTTCCGAAGAAAGACGTCCAGGATGGGATTGCTCCTCAAACTCAAGCTCAAACCAAGCATATCTCAACGGAAAAGAACGTGCGACCCAAAAAAACCCCCAATGGAGTCTGCTTGCTGGCTCCAGAGATATTTTTATTTTTTTCCCCTTAAAAAAATAATATATATGTATATATCTCTCTAAAATTTATTCTGATTTTTTGTGGGGTGCCCTTGGGCCTAGGCGGCCTGATTGATGAATTTTATGAATTTTTTATTTTAATTTTTTTGCTCGTTAGGTTGGTGGGCGGCGTGCATTTCCATGCAAATATACCTTGGGTCCTCGCTTGTTGTCAAAGGATAGCGGTTCGAGGCTGTCAAAGCTCCTTTTTTTACTCTGATGGATAATGTGCACAGAGAAAATATGCAGACACAGAAGAAGATTATAAACAGTTGAAAGAAGAAAGACGGGCACTCAAAGCAAATCAAATATCCAACTCCTCCTGATCCGGGGTGGGGGTGGGGTGTAACAGAGGAGCGGGGAAAAACCCCTACAAGCTTTTCTATTCAGTTTCCTGCAAAGTTTCCTACAAACTTTCCAACAAGGTTTCCTATTAAGTTTCCAACAAGGTTTCCTGCAAAGTTTCCTACAAGGTTTCCTATTCAGTTTCCTGCACAGTTTCCTAGAAGGTTTCCTATTAAGTTTCCTGCAAAGTTTCCTATTAATTTTCCTACAAACTTTCCAACAAGGTTTCCTATTAAGTTTCCTATTAAGTTTCCTACTAAGTTTCCTACAAGGTTTCCTACTAAGTTTCCTACAAGGTTTCCTACTAAGTTTCCTACAAGGTTTCCTATTAAGTTTCCTTCAAAGTTTCCTGTTAAATTTTCTGCAAATTTTCCTACAAATTTTCCTATTAAGTTTCCTACAAGTTTTCCTGCAAAATTTCCTACAAGGTTTCCTATTAAGTTTCCTACAAGGTTTCCTATTCAATTTCCTGCACAGTTTCCTACAAGGTTTCCTATTAAGTTTCCTACAAACTTTCCTACAAGGTTTCCTACTAAGTTTCCTACAAGGTTTCCTACTAAGTTTCCTACAAGGTTTCCTACTAGGTTTTCTACAAGGTTTCCTATTACGTTTCCTGCAAAGTTTCCTATTAAGTTTCCTACAAGGTTTCCTACTAAGTTTCCTACAAGGTTTCCTATTAAGTTTCCTACAAAGTTTCCTATTACGTTTCTTGCAAAGTTTCCTATTAAGTTTCCTACAAAGTTTCCTACAAGGGTTCCTATTAAGTTTCCTTGAAAGTTTCCTGTTGAATTTCCTGCATCTTTTCCTACAAAGTTTCCTATTAAGTTTCCTTCAAGGTTTCCTATTAAATTTCCTACAAACTTTCCCGCAAAGTTTCCTATAAAGTTACTAAAAAGTTTCCTAGAAGGATTCCTCTGGGGGTTACTAGAGGGGCTTCTTAAAAAGTTTCTGATGGGGGTTCCTGACCAGGTTTCCTATGGGGTTTTCCTATTAAATTTCCTACAAAGTTTCCTAAGACGTTTCCTACAAGATCTCCTATGGGGATTTCCTAGGAAGTTTCCTTGGAGCTTCATGCAAGTTCTTCCTCTCCTTTAAATCGGTGAAGGTACCTTGCGAGTTTCTGAGGGCAGCTGGACATTTTCATGGGAGAAATGTTGGAGGGGATGGTGGGTTGTCCCTCTTCCCAAATGTTGGTAGACCTCTGAATGCTGGCCGCTTGGAGTGAAAAGCGGGGGCAAGGCGGCCACCCTCAGCTCCTTCCTCCTTGCAGGATTCTCGACGGCCACTGAGAAGAGGACCATGGACCGGATGTCCTGCCTTTGGTCTGATCTAGGAAGGCTTCCCATATATGTTGGCTTGGCTGACGTGGAGCCACCGCTCACACCACACACCAAGGAGGCTCGGCTTCAAAGCCCCGCTCCGCCACTTCCACCGTAGAAATGTCAGAGAGGATGGAGCCACGCGGGCCCCCAACCCAGGAGAGAAGGAACTGGACCTTCAGGAGAAGCTGGGATCGGGGAAGTTGTGGACGATTGGACCTTTTATGGTGTTCTTCTAGATGTTGGAGTGTCTGGGGCAACCCAGTCTGATGGGTGGGGGTATAGATGACAAAATTATGACCATTAAGACTAATCAGATTGTTGCATTGACCATGAGCTTCTATGGAAAAGAGGAAGGAAGAAGGTAAAGGGAGCTGCCTATCCCTGCCTCACAAGTCTCTCTTGGGGCTCCTTCCCAACTCTATGATTCCATCTTGAGGTTCCTGCCTTGGTTGAACCAGACAACCATTCCATGATTCTATGTTGAGTTGCCTGCATTGTTTGGACCAGACAACCCTTCCAGGTCTCTTCCAACTCTATGATTCTATGTTGAGATTCCTGCCTTGGTTGGATCATACAACCCTTTCAGCTCCTTCCCAAGTCCATGATCCAAGCCTACTCTCCTAGACACTCTCTTCCAATAAGGAAATGGGTTTTTGGCCCAGCTCCAGGTTACGTCTCCCCCCTCGTCTCCCCGTTTTTGCCTCTTTTGGATTTTGGATTTCATTTTTTTTTAATGTAGTCGGAGATTTCGGTTTTTTTCAACCATGGCAAAGCAAGTGAAATGAATAAAGAGTAACAAACTTTGGTCAGGGACTTAGATGGCCAGCGCCTAAGAGCACAATGTGGGTCATGTTTAACAATGGGAAGAAGAGAGAGAAGGTGTATTTACAGATGTCAATCTACACACGGATGACAAAGCGCAAGACTTTCGAGAAGAGCGTGGGTGGCGGGAAGCTACTGACCTTGGACTCTTTCTCCTCCAGGAGGGTCTCCAGCTTCTTCTGGGCCGCCCGGCCCTCGTGGTCATCGCTGACGATGAGGATGATGTGGTTCCATTTGTAGAAGCGCATCATCTCAAACCAGACATTGGACTGGTGAGAGTAAGGAGGGACCGTGCGGAGGAACGAAAGATGGATACTCTGGGGAGAGAAGGAGCCAGAGGGAGCGTCACTGCGGACCAAGCGGGGGCGTCTGGGTTGAAGCGCCATCCCTCCTACAGGGTGGAAGGAGCCTCTGGAGAAGTTCCATCTTGAGACCCCACCTGCTTCTCCAGAGAGGTCCATCCTCTGCTCATCTCCTGCTGTCTCCATGGGAAGGTGACTCGAAGATGAGATTGAGGAACATCCCTCCCCTGGGGTGGAAGAACATCTCTAATACCAGCTCCATCCAAGACCTGGCCATCTGCTTGGTCTACTGCCCTGCTTTCTCCATGGGGCTACCTTGGAAGGGGACCTGGGAAACATTGTGGAAAACAGCCCTCCTGCGCAGTGGAAGGGCCTCTTTAGGAAGCCAATGGGAAAGATCTCCAGACGGACGGATGGACATTGACTCCTGAGAAGAACGAATGGCTGTATCAAGGCCTTCTCCCGCCAGATGTCCAGGAGAACGGCGGGTCCCGACCAGCGGGAGCTGTGGGCTTACCTTGTCCGAGTAGATGGACATGCGCGTGGTCAAGCCAATGACCGGGATCCGGTAGAAGCCAGCAGTGTATGACACTGGCGTCGGTGTGAGGTGGTCGTTGGGAGCCGGCGGGTGACTCACCAAGATGGCGTAGACCTGTGGGAGAGACGTTTTCCCCATGGAATTACGGACGTCCTAACATTCCCCTCTGATGTTTCTCCCATGAAATTATGGACGTTCTACCATCCCCTCTGACGTTTTCCCCATGAAAATATGGACATCCTACTATCCCTTCCGCCATTTCTCCCATGAAATTATGGATGTCCTATCACCTTGCTGACAAAGATCCATATAGTTCAAGCTATGGTTTTCCCACTAGTGATGTATGGAAGTGAGAGCTGGACCATCAAGAAGGCTGATCGCCAAAGAATGGATGCTTTTGAATTCTGGTGCTGGAGGAGTCTCTTGAGAGTCCCATGGACTGTAAGAAGATCCAACAGACCTATTCTGAAGGAAATCAGCCCTGAGTGCTCACGGGAAGGACAGATCCTGAAGCTGACGCTTCAAGACTTTGGCCACCTGGAAAAGACCCTGATGTTGGGAAAGATGGACGGCGCAAGGAGGAGGGCACAAGGAGACAGAGGATGAGATGGTGGGACAGTGTTCTCGAAGCGACCAACATGAGTTTGACCAAATTGTGGGAAGCAGTGGAAGACAGGAGGGCCTGGCGTGCTCTGGTCCATGGGGTCGCAAAGAATCGGACATGACTAAATGACTCAACAATAACAACAAGAAGCCATTCCCCTCCAACGTTTCTCCCATTAAATTATGGACATCCTCGAATGCCCAGGCTTTGACAGGCGGAGAGAGAAGCCGGCCGAGCCAGATTGCAAGATAATATGATTTCCTTAACCGCACATTAAAGGCCTAAATGCCATTTCCCCTCCAGGGACCATTTATGATGAAATGGTCTGGCGAGAAGGAGACGAAGAGCAATCGATGGAAGGAGCCAACCCTATGGAAGCAACTGAGATGGCGTTTCCATGGAAACTTCCTCCTCCCTTTGCTGGCTTCTCCTATAAATGGCCTTTTCTGCTCCGTTTGGGGGAAGAAGGAAGTCTGTAAATGTCGATCAGGTCTGCAATTTGGGTGGCTTCAAAGGAGATCCCAAATGAGATGTAAATGGGGTCAAAATAGCACCATTTGATGACTTGGGGACCCGGTTTGTTCCTTGGGAAATGGGCTGTGTTGGGGTATTTTTAAGGTCCCAATATGTGGGTGTGTAAGAGGGAGGGAGGGAGGGGGGAGAGAAGGAGAAAAAGAGAAAAGAGAGGGGAGAGCAAGGGAGGGAGGGAGAAAATGAGAGAGGGGAGAGAGGTAGGATAAGAAATAAAGAGGGAAAGAGAGGGAGAGAAAGAGAGGGAGAGAAAGAAAAAGAAAGAGGGAGAGGAGAAGAAAAACTATAGAGAGAAAGAGGGGGAGAGAGGGAGGAAAAGGGGAGAGAAAGGGGGGAAGGTAGGGAGAGAAATAAAGAGAGAGAGAGAGAAAGAAAAAGAAAGAGGGTAGGCAGAGACAGGGAGAGGAGGAGAAAAAGTAAAGAGAGAAAGAGAGGGGGAGCAAGGGGGGAGAGAAAATAAGGGAGAGAAAGAGGGAGGGGACAAATAAAGAGAGAAAGACAGAAAGAGAGAGAGGGGGAGGGAGGGATAGAAGAAGAGGGAGAAAGAGGGAGAGAGGGAGGGGGAGCGGGAGGAAGGAGAAAAAATAAAGAGAGAACAAGAGAGGGGAGAGAGAAATAAAGAGGGGGAAAGAGTGAAAGAGAGGGAGAGAAAGAAAAATAAAGAGGGAGGGAGTGGGAGGTAGAGAAGGAGAAAAAATAAAGAGAGAAAGAGAGGGGAGCGAGGGAGGAAGAGAAAAAAGTAGAGAAATAGAGAGGGGAGAGAGGGGGAGAAATAAAGAGCAAAAGAGAGAAAGAGAGAGAAAAGAAAGAGAGGGAGGGATAGAAAAAGAGGGAGAAAGAGGGGGAGAGAGGTAAGGAGAGAAATAAAGAGGGAAAGGGGGGAGAGAAAGAAATAGAGAGAGGGAGGGAGGTGGCAGAGAAGGAGAAAAAATAAAGAGAGGGGGAGCGAGAGAAAGAAAGAAAGAGGGGTTGTCCCTGGGCTGGTGCCCCCCAAGCCAAGAGGCTGGTTCATAGGGTCAAGGAGTTGTTGGCTGGCCCTTAGTAGGGTCAAGAAGTCCCTAGGCCAGTCCTTAGAGCTGAAGGTTCCCTAGGTTGGTTTCTAAAGCCAAGGGCTCCCTGGGCTGGCCCCCCAAGCCTGATCCATAGGGTCCCTGGGTGCTCAATAGTAGGGCCAAGGGGCCTCTGGTCGTCTCTTAGGGCTGAAGGTTCCCTAGGTTGGTTTCTAAAGCCAAGGGCTCCCTAGGTTGGTGCCCCAAGCCCACAGTCTGGACCATAGGGACAAGAGGTCCTTGGCCAGTCCTGAGTAGAACCATGGGGTCCCTAGGCCAGTCCTTAGGGCAGTAGGGTCCCTATGTTGATCTCTGTGGCCTGCAGGTTCCTAGGTTGGTGCCCCAAGCCCACAGTCCACAGGATCCAGGGGTCACTGGGTGGTCCTTTCTGTGGCCAACCAGTCCACCAGGTCAAGAGCTTGGCCCATCACGTCGAGGAGGAGTCCCTAGGGGGTTCTTGGGCGGCGCGGTGCGGCTACCTGGCTGGAGATGAGGTCCTCGCAGACGGAGAGGGCCATCTGGATGGCGTTGGGCTTGTGGGTGACGGAGGTGGCGTTGAGCTGGATCTTCCAGGTGCCATGGCGCTTGTTGGCCTGGTTGATGGCCTCGCGGAAGACCTGCTCGTGCCTCTTGGTGCTCAGCACCGCCCCGATGTTCACCACCTTGGGCTCGCAGCCCCCCCGCGCCACCGAGAAGCACAGCAGCACGGCCAGCAGCAGGAGGCGCATGGCGGTCACCCCACCGTCGCCCGGCGCAGCCCAAGGGCCCCCCAGGCGGCGGAGAACTGCCACGCAAGAGGGTCTATCCGTGGTCCTGAAGCGGCCCTGTGGAAGAAGCAGAGGCGGCTGCTGTCCCTGGTGCTGAATTGGCCCTTTGCAAAGGCCGCTGTCCCTGGTGCTGAATTGCCACCGCTGGCAAAAAACGTCACAGTCCCTGGTGCTGAATCGCTCCCCCCCCCCCCTTGCAAAAAGACGCTGCCCCTAGTGACGAATTGGCCCTTTGCACAACGCCGCTGTCCTGTTGCTGAATTGGAGCCCTCCTGCAAAAACACCGCAACTGTCCCTGGTGTTGAATTGCCACCCCCGTTTGCAAGCAGCCGCCGGATCTCCCCGCAAAAAACCCCAAAAAAACGCAATGGCGCTGAAGCGCAATGGCGTTGTCCGCCGCGCCGAAATCCCCCTGCAAAGACAGGCGCGCACCCGCGCGCGCGGCCGCGCGCGGGAGAGGAGGAAAAGGAGGCGGCCGGCCAATGCGGCGGCGTTTGGTGTCGCTGGGGGGGGGGAGGGCATAGGGGGAGAGGGGGGAGGGTTAGATAAAAGCGGGGTGGGGGTGGGGGGCAGGAGAAATCGCGGGGGGAGCATAGGAAATCAAGAGATTGGCCGCCGCCCCCCAAATCTTTATAGGATGTGCCCCCCATTATACAAAGCAGGAGGGCCGCTCAAGAGATTCCCCCCACCCGGTCAATCTTCCTAGGATGTGCCCCCAATATGCAAAGCAAGGGGGGCCGCTCAAGAGATTCCCCCCACCCCGTCAACCTTCCTAGGATGTGCCCCCCCAATATACAAAGCAGGGGTGGAGGAAAGCCAGACCTCCCCACTAAAGAGATTCGGGCCCCCCAAATCTTTATAGAATATGCCCCCCCCAATATTCTTCAGTTGGCCTTGCTAGCCAGGGGTGATGGGAGTTGTAGTCCAACAACAGCAATAAAATACATCGATTTTATATGGATTGATATGTTTATATGGATATATAACATTTATATGTTATATGGATTTCTCTTGAACTTTTATATGTTTATAACCCCCCCCAACAAACCCAATTTTATATACATATATATATGTGTGTGTGTGTGTGTGTGTGTGTGTGTATATGTATATAATCCATCAAATACCTACAATTATTATATATATATATTATAATATATATATATATATATATATTACACTCCCATAATACCCTACTATATATATATATATATATATATATATATATATATATATATATTATTATAATAACCCCCAAAACAAACATACACACACATATCTAATGATACTATAATAACTCCCCCCAAAACCCACAATTATATATATATTTTTATACACACACACACACACACACACACACATATATAATATTATAATAACCCCCCAAACACACACACACACACACACATATATAATGATACTATAATAACTCCCCATAAAACCCACAATTATATATTATAATTATATATTATAATATGTTATTATTATAATATGTGTGTGTGTGTATAACCCCCCCAAAAAACCCCCACAATTATATATTAGTCCCCAGATCCAGCTGAAAAATCCTGCCAATACAGGATTATTGTACTTATTGTTATATTTGCAGGAGATGATTGGATGGGCAGATTTGAGCAGGAATTTGGATAGGCAGAAGATATTAGAAATTCAATTTAAATTCATTTAACTTGCTCATCTAATTATCTACATCCTTCCCTCTCCTCCTGCGGTTCCTTAAATTTATTTCTGAATATCTTCCGCCTACCCAAATTCATTTACCTTGCTCATTTAATTATCTAGTTACTTCCTTCCCCCTCTTTCTGTGGTTCCTTACATTTATTATTATTAATTTTAATAATATAAAATAATAATAATATATAATAATTTTAATAAAATAATAAAACAACTTTTATTTACATTTTATTTTAATAATAATCATTAATAAAATCCACAGAATCCTTAGGAAGAGACGTCGAAATTCCAGCCCGCAATTCCAGATGTTAGATAAATTTCAGACGAGAGAAAATGCTAGCAGGATTCAGGTAAATAACAACAACAACATAATATCAATAATAATAATATCAACAACAATATTAATAAAATCAATAATAATAATATCATCAATAATAATAAGAACAACAACAGTTTATTTTTACCCCGCCATCTGGCTGGGTTTCTGAAAGCATAATATACAATAAAGGGAAGATCAGGGGATGAGTGGATCTCTAAGACACCCAAATGGATCTCCAAGAAGGGAGAAAATCAGCTCAATGGATCCATGGGAATAGGTAGGAATGTTGGGGAAATGGCAAGAAGCAGGGAAGGGGTGGTTGGGAAGTCTTGGAAAGGAGAGACGAAGGAAGGAGGGAGGGAAGGAAGGAAGGAAGGAGGGAGGGAAGGAAGGAGGGAAGGAAGGAAGGAAGGAGGGGAAGGAAGGAAGAGGGAAGGGGGGAGGAAGGAAGGGGGAGGGAGGGAAAGAAACAAAGAGGGAGGGAAGGATGGAAGGAAAGGAGGAAGGAAAGAAGGAAGGAAGGAAGGAAGGAAGGAAGGAAGGAAGGAAGTCCCCCAAATTGAGTGATCCCCAAAGTGGACAGTAGGAAGAGAAGCAGATTATGTACATGGACAGGAAGGTCAGTCAGTCAGTCGGCTCCCCCAAATCGAGCAAGCCCCAACGTGGACAACCAGAAGCGGAGAACTGTACAAGGACGGGACTCTCCCAGTTGCGCACAGTTGCCTCAACTCTCGGGAAGTGGGAAAGCCGGGCTGCCCCGGGAGGGTGTCCTTCAAAAGGGCGCAAGGAAACGGGAAGCGGGCGCTGGAGGCACGCCAGAGCTCGTTCTCCGTCCGTCCGTGGCATGGTGGGCGGGACCACCTCCTCGGCACCAGTCCACAAGGTAGGTCCGTGGGAGAAGAAGAGCTGGTCCATCCCGGGGGTGTCTGAGAGGGGGTGGCAGGAAAGAAGCGACGGGGGCCCTCACACCACGGTGCTGACCGAGGGGTCCGAGAGGTTGAGCTGCCCCGCAAGGTCAGTGGGGTGGTACTGCTGCAGGGGAGACAAAAGACAAGACACGGGGGAGGGGTGGTGGTCAGGCAGAGGCGGGCCAGAGCGAGGCCGAGACACATGCTGCCCCCGCAGGCCGCCACCGCCCCGGCAGGAAACCGCTCAAGGAAGATGCTGCGCCTCCAAACCGGGATGCATTCAAGGCTGTGAGACCAAGCGGGGAATCTCCGGGGATCCGCTCTGTTCCCACAAAAAAGTCAGGGTGCCGCAATGTGGGCAGAGCCAAACGTAGGGCCACCCTTCCCATTTTAGGGACCCTGACATAGGGCCACCCTACTAATTTCAGAACCCTGACCTGTGTCGTCGTGTCCCACCCCCAGTTTCCATTCGGCTCAGCTCCTTCCCGGTTGGAGCGCATCGTCCCTCAAGGATCTCCCCCGGGGGGCAGCCACGTGGGGCAGGGGCTCCCTCCCCCTCGCAGCGCAGCCTCTTCCCCCGGAAAGCAGCACCCGCTAGCTCAGCGATTTCGGGCCCATCCCCTTTGGAATCGCCCGGCAGCTTCGACCCCTTGACAATTTCGGGTCGATCCCCTTCGAAATCTGCCGACGACTCTCCCTTCATGTACGCCAAGAAACTCCCTCCGGGAAAAAGCTCGGCGACTCAGCTCGCAAAAGAGCCACTTTTTCCAAGATGGCCGCCCTACTCCTCTCCCGCCCGGCCCTTTTCTGGGATGTCCCGGAAGGGGATGACCGGTTGTTCCCCCCACCAGCACCACCACCCATCCCACAAGATCAAACAGGACTTTGGATACAGGACAAAAATGCATCAACATTCACAACAAGATCCCACCCTTTGCGGAGGAACTCCTGAAGCCGGGAATTCTCTACAGGGCTTTATCTGCAGCTCACGGACTCTGGGTGTGGCGGCCTCGCGGGGGTGTCTGTAGGGAGCAGGCGCATCAAAGGGATGGTCTATTACATCGAAAGCTGGCTTTGAACCCGGTGCCGGCACCCGGGGACACCACCAAAACCACCACCCCAGGAAAGCGGGACGCCGCCCGGCCAACCCGGCCAACCCAGAGCTGCGTTTCTTCCTCCTCCTCCTCCTCCTCCTCCCTCTACCCTCCACACTGGAATGCCTAGAAGGGAAAGCCACCAGAGGAAGCAGACCCTCCAAGCACCCCTCTCTCTCCCGGGATAGAAGAATCCAGCCCAGTTTCCACCGGGATCCCGGAAGGTTCCGCTGTTCCTGGGATGTCCCTATTTTCATGGGAGAAATGTTGGAGGGGGTGGAATAGGACGTCACTATTTTCATGGGAGAAATGTTGGAGCGGATGGAATAGGACTTCCCTATTTTCATCGGAGAAATATTGGAGGGGATGGAATAGGATGTCCCTATTTTCATGGGACAAATGTTGGAGGGGATGGAATGGGATGTCCCCATTTTCACTGGAGAAATGATGGAGGGGATGGAATAGTATGTCCCTATCTTCATTGGAGAAATGTTGGAGGTTATGCAAACGCCCACCACTGGGGGGGAGACTTTTTTTATAAATCCCTGCAGTTACGAACAGGAGGAATAAACGGAGAGTCATGTGGGGGGGAGTTTGAGAAGGCGGAAAGCCATCTTTTCCGGCCGAGACATTTCCCCTTCTGGAATACCACCCTCCCAATATCTTGTGACAGATGTCCTTTTGATGGGGAGAGAGGGGGGGGGAATCAGAATTTTAAGATGGCCGAGAAGTTGGCTTTCGCCCCAGGTGGACCTTTCAATGTCTGGGACCTTTGGAAAGCCGCCAAAGGGCGGGGATGAGGTCAAACCCTATGCCCCACCAACTCAGAAACATGCATAATAGAGGGTCTCCAAAACGGGCCGGGGGTTTGGAGAGGGAGATGGAACTTTCCTGCCCCTGTGGCGACCGTGCCAGAAAGGATGATGCGCAATGGGGAAGATATCTGGGAATTAAAGCAAATTTGCTGGAATGATTTGGACGGGTTGATTTACTGCAATTGGCTCCTTGGAAACAGCTGGAATCCTGCAAATGTGGATCAGAATCCTGATTTAATCATTTGGACGGATTGCTTTGGTGCAATCTGCTCCTTGGAAACAGCCTGAATCCTGCAAACGTCGAGAGCGACCCGAATTCGCAATCATTTGGATTGTGACCGCCCAGAGTGGAAGATGGAACGAAAGAGAAATTCCCAACTAAAGAGCGACGGCGGGAGGGACGGGCGGAAGATGGAATGTGCCAAGGTGAAAGCGGAAAGGAGGGTTTGGAGGAGGAGAAGCGGAGAGGAGAGGAGCGGAGAAGGCCGACTGGGAGTAAGAATGGCGGGAGCGGTGGGAAGAACGAGGGAATGGAGGGGACGGGAGGGAGGAATGAATGGATGGGAGGATATTCAGAGGAAGGAAAGCATGGATGGATATTTAGAGGAAGGAAGGAATGGATGGATATTCAGCAGAACAAGGGAATGGAGGGGAGGGAGGAATAAATTCAGCAAAAGGAGGTGTAGCCAGAATGCCATAGAGTGGTGGCTTGGGATGTTCAACAAGGAATAACCTGCCGTGGGAAATGGACAAAAAATTCGGAAATGGATTAAAAATAAATAAAAAGGGATGAGAATGGATTGACATGCTGTTAAACTGCTTTTTAATTCTGTTTCCTCCCTTTATGGTCTTGATTTATGGGCTACTATAGGTTACTACTACTAATAGTAATTAATAATTAAAATAAAATAAAATAAAATAAAAAATAGTTCTGATGTTTCCTCCCTTTATGGTCTTGGCTTATGGGCTACTGCTAAAATGAGGCTGCATTTAAAGCTGTATTTTAAGCTGCATTTTAATTAACTGTTCTTGGTTTTTTCCTATTATGTTTTATTGTAATTTATATTGGGTGTTAGCTGCCCTGAGCCTGCCCCTGGCCCTGGCCAGGGAGGGTGGGGTATAAATAAAAAATTATTATTATTATTATTATTATTATTATTATTATTATTATGTTTTTTGTTAGAATTGTTTTTACTGGTTTTGATATGTGTGTCTTTTTAAATATATATAATTTTAATTATTATTTTTCTGTTTTACAATCTTGAATACTCATTTAAACATCCTTGAAATTCAAGGGTGTTTTAATGTGTGTGTGTTTTTGGGGGGGCTGTGACGGTGATCTTGGCACTGATATGGGAGGATTTGATGCGGAAATTCGGAGGAGAAGCGGTGAGGAATATTCAGGGCTGGTCTCCAAGAAAATGACAGTGATCTTAGCATTGATACAGGAGAATTTTCAGAGGAAATCCGGAGTGGAAACAATGAGGAATATTTGGGGCTGATCCGAGAGAGGGACAGCAATCTTCACATTGATACAGGAGGATGTTCAGAGGAAATTGTAGCCCAACGCCCTTTGGAATAAGTTTGAGAAATCATGGGAGAAGCTTTGTGAAATATATTAATTTCCATTAATAATAATAATAATAAGTATTCTTAGTCTTCTTTTATTTCTGCTGTGTCAGACCAACACGGCTGCCTACCTGATGATAATAATGATAATGATGACGATAATAAAATATATATATATATAAGATTATGGTTATTATTATTATTACTATTATCATCAGGCTGCCTACCTGATGATAATAATGATTATGATGATAATTACAATAATAATATAAATAATAATGGTGATAATAATAATAACAATAACAACAATAATGTTTTATATATATTATCATCATTATCACCACCACCCCCACAATTATTGTTGCCAAAGAGCCATAACATAAATTAATAATAATAATACCCCACTCATCTGACTGGGGAACTGCCTGCACATAGGAAAACAGCAGAAAGTCTGCAGATTGTGGAAGTTCAGGTTGTCCTGCCTTGGCCTCATTCCCAGCCTATCAACAGATTGGGATGAGGGATCCTAACAGATATCCCAGGGTCCCTATTGCAGGGACAGCCCAAGATCTGAAGAAGCCATGGCGGTTTCCGGTTTGATCCGGGGTTGATCCCGCTTTTCCTAAGGACATTCCTATTTTCATGGGAGAAATGTTGGCAGGTATGGAATAGGACGTCCATATTTTCATGGGGGAAATGTCAGAGGGGATGGTAGGAAGTCCATATTTTCATGGGAGAAATGTTGGCACATATGGAATAGGACGTCTGTATTTCATGGGAGAAATGTCGGCAGGTATGGAACAGGACAGGGGTTGGCAATTTTTTCTAGCAGCCGGCCAGTCCACTGTCACGCAGACCTTATGGCGGGCTGGAGAAGCGGAACCGGGGGGTGGAGCTGGAAGAAGAGGCGAGGGGGGTCAAATTGTCCTCCTCCCCACCCCCCAGCCCCAGCTTCCCAGGGGCTGCTGCCACCACCGCCGCCACTGCTTCTCATGAGTAGACAGAGTGAGCTTGTTTGCTCGCTCTCTGGCCCGTAGAATAAGGTGACCAGTTTTCCCCCCATGAATCCGGGGATGCTTTTCAATCTCCATGGATTTTGTAGGATTTCTAAATCTGGGGACGGTCCCCAGAAAACGGGGGTGTCTGGGAACCTTACCCTAGGGGCACCAGGGCGGCAGGGGCGGCGGGGGTGGGAGGAAGAGGCCGAGCAGCGGTGGGAGGAAGAGGCTGAGTGAAGCCAGAACCCGAGATTATTGGCGACAAGGATGGGACAAAGAGGCTGAGCGGCGGCAGCTCGACCAATCCCATGGCGAGCCCGGATCCCAGCGCAGGGCGGAGCCATCCCTGCCGATCAAATGCCGCCGGGGCAAACCAGGCGCGGCGTTGGAGCAGGCAAGCCGCTGCTGCTCGGGCTCTTGGTCCCATCGGTGTCGCCGAGATTTACAGATTCGGCTTCCCGGACTGAGGACCCAAATGGGCCTGATCCATAGCTGTCAATGGTTCCCTTTTTTAAAGGGAAATTCCCTTATTCCAAATAGGATTCCTCGCAAGAAAAGGGGAAAGTTGACAGCTATGGCCTGATCTGGCCCGGGGGGACTTGGGTTGCCGGTTCTGTCGGGTCAACGTCAGAGAGGATGGCCAGATGCCCCTGTTTCCACGGGAGAAACGTTGGCGCGGGCTAAGCATTGGAGCTTGGCCGTCCGCCTGATGACGGAGGGCCCCTCCCCCGCCTCGTCATTTCCAAGGAAGCCACGGACAGAAAAACACAGGTACAGAAGGTGACGAGAGACATGGTGCCAGGCGAGGCCATGCACCTTGCCTGAATCCCACAGGAAGTGTGGCGGCAGGAGAGGGCGGTGGCAGGGAATCCTGCTGGCCACTGCTTGCAGAGCCGTACAGTTACCACAGGCAGAGGGAGACGGTGGAGATGGCAGGGCAGGGGATGGACGAGGGGAAGACGGCACGGCGGACCGCTTTCCGGGCGGGGACCAGGACAGGAAGGACTGGAAATCAAAAGAGGGGGGGGGAGAAAATTCTGGGTTCAAACCACATACGGGGAGAAGAGGGAGCCCTCGATCTTTGGGACAGACGGTGGAGACGGACTTACAGAGGACGAAACGGGGCCATGGCAGCTGTGAGATGGGGCGGTTGATGGGATGGCAGGAGAAAGAGAGAAAGAAGGAGGGCACAACCGGTTGTCTTCTTCTTACCGTGTCTCTGCAGGACCTACGGCTCTTGAAGCTGTTGGCCAGCGTGGATGTGATGGACCTAAAAGTGGTTTTCATTCTAGGGCCTGGTTCTGCTCTAGCACTTGGTCTATCCTAAAACGAACATGTACATAAGCGGTTAGATCTCCGGACGGCCGCCACCGGCCGCCGCGTCTACACTGTGCCTCGCTTTCACGGGCTGCCTTGCTCGCCTGGTGTGCTCCTCCTGCCCTACAGGGCGGCCGGGCTCCGGAGGGCCCCTCCGAGCGCTGACCTTCCGAGTGGCCATCTTGGGCTGGGGCGATCCTGGGAGCCACCCCAGACTCTGAGCGGATCCGCTGTCCTTTTCACGGATGTACCCTAATTTCACAGGATGGGGTGGGAGAGGATGCCCCTCTTGGAATGGAATCGGAAGTACCTCTTTTCATGGAAGGGGGAGGAACCAGACACTCCTCTCCCCCAACTCCCGGAGAAATGTCAGAGAGGATGTACAGTTGCCCTCAAAACCATCCCATCCCTGGGGCAAACGGGGCAGGTCCCCGCTGAGAGGGCGATTTTGGAGGTCTCAAATGGGGTGGTTTGGGTCAGAAGGACCCCAAGCATCAGTGGGAGGGGTGATAGGAAGACCCTGTTTTCCGGGGAGGAATGTCATGGTAGGACGTCCATAATTTGGTTGTGGGAATGTCAGAGAGGATGGTAGGACATCCAAATTTCGTGGGAGGAACGTCAGAAGGGGTGGTAGGACGTCCATAATTTCATGGGAAGAACGTCAGAAAGGGTGGTAGGACGTCCATAATTTTGTGGGAAGAATGTCAGAAGGGGTGGTAGGATGTCCATAATTTCATGGGAGGAACGCCAGAAAGGGTGGTAGGACGTCCATAATTTCATGGGAGGAACGTCAGAAAGAGTGGTAGGACGTCCATAATTTCATGGAAAGAATGTCAAAGGGGATGGTAGGATGTCCATAATTTTGTGGGAAGAACATCAGAAGGGGTGGTAGGACGTCCATAATTTCGGTGGAAGAACGTCAAAGGGGATGGTAGGACGTCCATAATTTCATGGAAAGAACCTCAGAGGGGAAGGAAGGATGTCTATAATTTCATGGGAAGAACGTCAGAAGGGGTGGTAGGACATCCATAATTTCATGGGAAGAATGTCAAAGGGGATGGTAGGAAGTCCATAATTTTATGGGAGGAACGTCAGAAGGGGTGGTAGGACATCCATAATTTCATGGGAAGAATGTCAAAGGTGATGGTAGGACGTCCATAATTTTGTGGGAAGAACGTCAAAAGGGGTGCTGGGACGTCCATAATTTCATGGGACGAACATCTGACAGAAACTGTACGTGAGGACCTTGTATGTGGGGCGGACCCTTTTCTGGAAGGGGTGGGGGGAACAGGGCGGGACGGAGCTACAAGCAACCTTGGAGTTCCTGCAGCAGCTCAAAGGGCCTCCTCTCAGGAGCTTGGAGAGGAGGGGCCCCCACCCTATTGGTGGCCTGGGAGGGGGGCGGTCCCTGCCGGTCGCTGTCGCCCCCTTTCTTCCATCATCTAGAGAGGGGGGCAAGAGACTTTTTCCACCTACCCCTAAATAAATAGGATCGGGGCCTTTGGTCAAGGCAGGTCCTACGGCTGGGAGATAGAGAGAAGACTGCATCAGAAGAGAAGGGAAGTCATTGTATGTTAAGGGGGGGAATGGGGGGGTAAAATATCAGAATTAAAGAAAGAAACGAAAACCAGTATTGGGAAATCAAGGAGGGTATATAGGTCTCCCGAGATCGGCGGCCGGAAGCTGGGGGGCTGCTTTCCGGAGGGACCCCGGGCGGGAATCCGAGGGGGGGTTAAATGGGGAGGGGGCAGCTGAAGGGTTGGGGGCGGAGCGGGAACGAAAGCCGTCAAGGAGGGGGGAGGGGAGAGAATCGTGGGGGGAGGTTGGGTGGGAGGCAACCAGACCTGGTTATGGGGGGGTGGAAGGAGGCCCCCATTTTTGGGAGGGGAACCCTGTTTCTGATCCCAACCTGTTGGGCTACGGTGGAATTTGGGGTTTGGGGGGGAGGGCCCCCCCAATCTGAACCCTCTGTATCCTCCCCTTGGGGAACCCCGTTTCTGATCCCCCCCTTTGGATTTAGGTAATTTTTTTGGGGGGGGAGAGACCAGGTCTGGCTCCTTCGCATCCGGGTTGGGGGGGCCGACCGGAATTGAATCCATTTCCTGCTTCCGTTCCCGATCTTCCTCTCCCCCCTGCCCCCCCGGGCATGCACAGGAAAAAAGCAATTGGTAGGATGGAATGGATGAAGATCTATATCTAAATATATATCGATAGGGAGATACCCACATATAAATATATATATATATTTACATATATTGATCCAGAGGTATCAGCGCATGGCTTGCCACGGCGTTGCGCCATGGCCGAAGAGTGACCAAAACCAAATAATAATAATAGTAATAATTTAACATTTCTACCCCGCCCATGATTTCAAATAATAATTTGAAAAGAAACGTGTGTGTGTGTGTGTGCGTATGCGTGTGTGTGTATATATATATATATACACACACATACACATACATACACATACATATACGTATATACATATATACATTATATATATATTATATGCATTATATACTTATATGTATTATATATTATATACGCATATATAAATTATATATATATTATTTATATACATATATAAATAATATTTTATATATTTTTGGTCATATTCTGATCTTATTGAATAGACACAAACACACACACACATGTTATATATAGCCTTATATAAATTATATATATATATATATACATAAACATATATATAATATGTATATGTATATGTATGTATGTATGCATGTGTGTGTGTGTGTATATATATATATATATATATATATATATATATATATATAATTTTTTTGGTCGTATTTTGATTTTTTATTTGACTTTTATTTTATTTTATTTTTTAAAATTGGTATTTATTGAACAAAGAAATCTTCCCGCTCGCCTACCTTCTAGCATTGTACTAGTGGCCGGAGGGTTCCTCCTGCGGAAAAGTCTTACATTGTCAAACGGATCTCCGGAACGTCGGCTTTCCTCGTCGGCCGTGGGGTGGGGTGGGATGGCCCCCACCCAAAAAATCCTGGACCCCCCCACATCTCGGCCAAACCCCAAACCCCAGACCGGACCCGCCGTCAACCCAGGGAAGCGTTTCTCCTCTCTAGAAAGTTGGCAAGTGAAAAATGGCAGTGACAATTGCACTTGGGATGCCCTACAAAATTCGAGCCTGCCTCGTTTGGGTGGCGGAGGGGGCAGGACACAGGGATGGACAGACCCCGATTGACAGGACGACCCTATTCCCATTGTAGGGAATTTAATAGGACATCCCTATTACCATTGATGGGGATTGAATAGGACACCCCTATTTCATTATAGGGGATCGAATAGGACACCCCTATTTCCATTGTAGGGGATTTAATAGGACGCCCGTATTCCCATTATATGGGATTGAATAGAACGTCCCTATTTCATTATTGGGGATCGAATGAGATGCCCCTATTTCATTATAGGGGATTTAATAGGACGCCCCTATTTCCATTGTAGGGGATTTAATAGGATGTCCCTATTCCCATTGTAGGGGATTGAATAGGACGCCCCTATTTCATTATAGGGGATCAAATAGGATGCCCCTATTTCCATTGGGGCATTTGCCCCCCTATTTAGGAGGGTAGGGGCCCCTCAAAGGCCTTCCCAGGATGAGTGGGGCAGTGGGGTCCCCCAGGGGTCATCCAAACCAACCCTCCACCCTCTTGGAAGGAGCGACTCTTATGGGGTTCCCCCACCCCATAAGTGGGAGCCACGGAGAGGGCGTCCCCCTAATACTACTCCCCTTCGGCACCGTAGTGACTGTTGGGGTGAAGGAATGGGAAATGGAAAAGGACCTCCAAATTAAAAAATGGAAATTCAAAGACGTCCCACTTGTTTTGGTGTTTTTTCCGGCGGTTTTGTGGGTTACCTGCCCCCCGCCGGAGGTCTCTTCTCCTCCCAAAAATGGCCTCTTCCTACCTGTAGGTTCTTCCTCCAGACGTTGACGGCGGCAAAGGCCAACTGCATCTGCTTCCGTCGGGCGTCCTTGTGCCTCTTGTAGGCAATTTCGATGAAGATCAGGAAGATTCCGGCCACAATCCCACCGGCCACCAGCATGAAGACGCCTGGTAGGGGTCAAAACGTGGGAGGGAGAAGGGTCAGAGAGCCGGGTTCGAAAGAAGCGCGCGCACACACGCCGCCACCACAATCGAAGGTCGTCCAGGAAGCAGAGTGAGAATCGTAATCATGGCGGCAATTGTCGTGATAGTAATAACGATGGGGATCCGGAATAAGAATAGGAATCACAAATGACAATTGTAAGAAGAAGGATAGCGATACTTGCAAATGGGGGTGGTAGCAGTAGTAGTTAGAAATGGCAATAGTAACAATAACAATAACAATAATATTAATATTAATAATAATAATAATAATGTGAATCTAAGTTTGGCAGTCGTCGTCATCATCATCATCCATCATCATCCATCATCCATCCACCAACACCACCATCATCTCAATATTCTTATTCTTAAGAGCCTGGCTAAGCACCCATCAGCATCATCCATCACCACCACCACCACCACCACCACCACCTCAATATTCTGATTCATAAGAGCTGGGCTAAGCACTGGATGATGGGTAGGCAAACTAAGGCCCATCATCCATCACCATCATCTCAATAGTCTTATTCTTAAGAACCGGGCTAAGCACTGGACATTTTGTGCCTTGCCTTGGGTTGGACTGGATGACCCACGGGGGTGGTGGTGGTGTCCCTCGTGCCCCTTCTTCTCTGATCCCTGAGGGGAGGGAGCTCCAGGGGGAACGGGGAGGTCTAGGAACCCACCTGCCATGTTCTCAAAGGTGAGGGTGGCCGGGGCATTACTCCTTGAGTCGCACTCCTGGTACCTCACCCACGTCTTGTCCAGCTCTTCCATGAAGCCATTTTCGTGGAGGCTGTGGGACGGGAGGAGAGAGCTGAAGCGGGGAGTCCCGCCATCTTGAATAAAATATGGATTGGGGGGATGGGGCGGGAGGCCAGGTGAAGCCACACCCCGCAACCCTCAAATCTCTTACGGGGACCCAAGGGAGTCCCAGGAAAGGCCAAGGGAGTCCTTCAAAAGACCAACTTGGACGAAGAAGGCTCCTCGGCCATCTTTGACAGACCCAGAGGAAGTCAGGCCCAACCGGACTCCCTCTTTGATGCTACTGGGTTCGATCCCAGAACATCCCGATTTTGGGGGGCGAGGAACGTTAGAGGGGCTGGCAGCTTTCTGGTTCGAACCCTGGATATCCTATTTTCCCGATTTCCCCCAGAGGGGATGCCTGGACCTTTCTCCCATGAAAAGAGGTCCTCTTGTGTTTCTCCTCCGAAGTGGGAAAGGGAAGTTCCAGGATCGATCCGGGATGCTCGGAGGGTCTGGTGTTCTCCACCCAACCCCAACCCCCTTCCCTGGATCATTCCCGCGGGCGGGGGAGAGGGTACGGACTTGAGGATGGCCAGCGAGACGTTCTGCTTCCAGGGACTGTCCTTCCTCATTCCGATTCCAAATCCAGACCGGAAGAAGAGTTCTCCAGTGGTCACCAGGTCGCACTTCTGGGAGGCTTCGAACTCCAGGACAGCCGAGTCCCAGATGAAGGCGTGGAGCTTGCTGGGTGGAGACACAAGTGGGAACAGTAACCAGGAAAAGGGGGTCGACTTCAGCGCTCCCGGCAAATTCCAGAAGCCTTCCCTCCCCCTCTTCCGATGGAGGATTTTCGCAGGATGAAGCGGTCCCGAAAGGAAAGGATCAGAAATCCCGGCAAATTCGTTCCTGAGAAATTCCTGCCAAACCTTTCCTGAGAAATTCCCGCCAAACCTTTCCTGAGATATTCCCACAAAACCTTTTCTTAGAAATTCCCGTCAAACCATTTCTGAGAAATTCCTGCCAAACCATTTCTTATAAATTCCTGCCCAAGTATTTCTGAGAAATCCCGCCAAACCTTTCTTTAGAAATTCCTGCCAAACCATTGATTAGAAATCCCAGCAAAACAATAAATTAGATTGCAAAATTTACAAGAAACCCAGCAAAACCATTGATTAGAAATCCCAGCCAAACAATTTCTTAGAAATCCCAGCCAAACATTTTCTTAGAAATCCCAGTAAAATGTCTTCTATATTTCTGCAAAACGATTTATTAGAAATTCCCGCAAAACATTTTGTTTAGAAGACGTAGACATTTCTTTGAAATCCCAGGAAAATTTCTTAGAAACCCAGCAAACATTTCTGAGATATCCCAGTCAAACAATTTCTTAGAAATCCCAGCCAAATTTATTGGAAATCCCAGCAGAATTTCTTATAAATCCCAGCAGAATTTCTTAGAAACCCCAGCAGAATTTCTTAGAAATCCCAAACAATTTCTAATAAATCCTAGCCAAACAATTTATTAGAAATCCCAGCCAAATGTCTTAGAATTCCTAGCCAAATAGTTTCTTAGGAATCCCAGCAGAATTTCTTCGAAATCCCAGCCAAATTTCTTATAAATCTCACCTAAATTTCTTAGAAGTCCCAGCAGAATTTCTTAGAAATCCCACCCAAATTCCCACAAAAATTCTTCGACTTTGCGTTGGCTTCAAATCAGTGGGTTGTTAATTGGTCGAAATTTATGGAAATTAACTGGCCAAAAAATAAAAATAAAAATGGAATCCCATAATCCAACGCCTCTTTCCCCATTGGTCCCCCATGTCCTCCCAGCCCACCCACCAGGAAAAGTCAAAGGAGTCCAACTCACTTGTCCCGGACGGCCTGGATGGCTTCGGCGGCACTTTCGTAGTTATGCTTCTCCATGTGGCGGTACATGGTGCTGAGCTCCACCTGCCGGCGGAAGTAGATGTCCACCGAGCTCTGCTTGACCGTGGCGTAGATGAATTTGTCGGACGGGTTGCGCAGCTGGGAGAGGGGAAGGTAGGACGTCCGTATTTTGGTGGAGAACATCAGAGAAGTGTCAGAAGGGGTGGCAGGACGTCCATAATTTCGTGGGAGAAATGCTAGAGGGGATGGTAGGACGTCCCTATTCTCATGGGATAAATGTTAGAGAAGATGGTAGGACATCCATATTCTCATAGGAGACATGTCAGAGGCTTGGTGTTCTCCTTCCATGCTTACCCTGGGATCATTGATGCCCGTGATCCGTTCTTCGGGTCTGTCCAACACCAGGAAGGCTGCCAGGTTGGCAGTGTAAGAGGCGACGATGATCATGGCGAATCCAGCCCACACCATCCCCAGGATCCGTGCGGAGAAGCTCCGGGGAGCACCTGGAAGAGATAGGGCAGCTCGGGATGATCCTCATGCATCTGAAGGACCGAAACCCTGGGGAGATAGACCTCACCCAAGCTCTCTAGTGCCACCCCTCAAGAAGTCCATCTAACTGGGGAAGAACCCAGAGGGGAAGAAGCTGAGTTGGACATCCCTATTCTTGTGGGAGAAATGACGGAGGTCAGAGAAGATGGTAGGACGTCCATATTTTCATCAATGTCAAACGAGATGGTAGGACCTCCATATCAATGTCAAAGGGGATGGTAGGACGTCCATATTTTCATCCATGTCAAAGGGGATGGTGGGACCTCCCTATTTTCATGGGAGAAATATCGGAGAAGATATGGGGTCGGTGGCACCAGCCTTTGCTTTGCAGCCTCTTACGGACGGACCCATCCAGATCATTCCCACTGGAGAGACTCACCTTCTCCGATGCCAGAGTTGAGCAAGACTCCCCAGGAGAACCACATGGCAGATGACAGGGTCAGGGCATCCTCTTCCTCTTCCTCGCTGTTGACTTTGAAGCGGCCGAAGGGGCTGCAAGAGAGCAAGCGGGGCCAGCGGTCAGCCGTCCATCAAGTAGCAGGTCTTAGAAGATACCCCGTGGAAAGAAGCTTCTGGACCTCACGGGTGTGAGGAACTCCAGAAGTCCGGGGTGGGCAGAGGGCGGAACTTCGAGGACTCCTCGGTTTCCCTCATGTCATTCGCAGGTGGAATAAGTGATGCAAAGTCAGTGGACAGAGGTCCCTTTGCATCATTGATGGGTACGTAATTTGGTGACGTCTTGAGGAACAGCCCGTCCAGTTCCTTGTCCCTGCCCCCATTCATGGGTGGGAGGAAGCAGAGCTGGATAACTTTTCCTTGCTCCTCTGGGATGAGGAGGAGACCAGGAAGACCAAGGGGTAGAGGAAAGAGGCGTAGAGGAGGGAGGAGGAGACCAGGAAGACCATGAGCTAGAGGAGGAGGGAGGAGGAGGAGACTAGGAAGGCCAAGGGGCAGAAGAAGAGGAGGAGGAAGGAGGAGGAGGAGGAGACCAGGAAGACCAAGGGGTAGAGGAAGAGTTAGAGGGAGGAGGAGGAGGAGGGGGAGGGGAGGAGGAAGGAAGGAGGAGAAGGGAGGAGGAGAATGAAGGAGGAAGGAGGAGGAGGGAGAAGGAGACCAGGAAGACCAAGGGGTAGAAGGAGGGGTAGAGGGATGAGGAGGAGGAGGAGGAGGAAGAAAGGAGGAGGAGGGAGGAGGAGGAGGGGGAGGAGGAGAAGGAAGGAGAAAGGAGGAGGAAGGAGGAGGAGGAGACCAGGAAGACCAAGGGGTAGAGGGAGAAGGAGGAGGTGGAGGTGGTGGAGAAGACCAGGAAGACCAAGGGGTGGCCGCAGTTACCTGAAACGGTCCAGGAGATAGAGCATCACAGCCACCACGTGGACCGAGAGGCCCACCAGGAGCCACAGGGTGCTCTGGAACGGCTGCATGAACGAGTCCAAGGTGCTGCGGGGGATTTCCTGCAACGGAGAACCGGAAGTGGGCGTCAGTAGCTGTGGGAAGACCCCAGCAGGGGTTGCTTAGGGTTCCTCACAAAGGTTGAGGAGAACGGTTCTCCTCTTCTTCTCACCATGCCTTTCAAGGATGGACCTTGATGTCATATATGGGTGGATTTTAATGGATGCTGATTATATTATGTTATATTGTATTATATTCACAAGAAATTCCATTGGGACTTTGCAAAGGGAAGGAGATGGACAACGGGAACGGCTTGACCAAAGCAGAGCGTGGCCACCTCTGTGGACCAAGCCCTCTGGAGGGCACAGTGATGCCTAGTGGTTGTTGGCCATGTCTACCCACCTTCTTCACCAGGATGGTGAGTCCCTGGTACTTAAAGGGCTTGGAGAACTCGATGTACTGGGCCCGCTCGTTGTTGATGGTCAAAGGAGCCACGATCATGTCCGCCTGACCGCTCAAGAGCTCCCCCATCATGCCGTTCCACTCCTTCTTGTTGCTGTTGTTCACCTGTGGTGAGACAGAGCCAGGGTGAGAAGGGCAAGGAGGTCCGTATTTCCATGGGATGAGCGTCGGTGATGATGGCATTTTCGTGGGATGAATGTGGGAGATGACGGTAGAACGTCCGTAATTTCATGGGATGGATGTGGGAGGTGATGGTAGAACGTCCATAATTTCATGGGATGAATGTGGGAGATGATGGTAGGACGTCCGTATTTTCATGGGATGAATGTCAAAGGGGATGGTAGGAAGTCCATAATTTCATAGGAAAAACATCAGAAAGGATGGTAGGACGTCCATAATGTCACGGAACAAATGTCAAAGGGGATAGCAGGAAGAAGCTATGGGAAGCAAGTTCATGAATGGACAACCCTCCAGGCCTCTCCTGAAGGTTCCTCAGGTCACCCCAGTGTGGGCGGAAAGCCAATGGGGACAGCAAACCGTTCCAGGAACGACTTCCCACAGATCCCCTTTCTCAATGGGACAGCGTCTGTCCGTTCCCGGCCAAGGGGCTGGACCCTTGGAGGTCTTCTGAGAAGTTGGAGGGTGGCCCGTCCGGCCTTCCCGAGGCCCACTCACCCGCTCCTGTGTGCCAAACTTCCCATCGCCCACCAGGTGGACCTCGTAAGTGAAGTTCATGGTCTTGGCCAGCTTGATCAGGAGGTCGACGCAGAAGCCATAGCAGCAGAGCATCACGCTGGGGCGGCCTGGTGGGGCAGGAGAAAGGGGGACCATTGAGGCCCGTTCCAGAAGGTCCCCAACGGAGAGGACCTTCTCAATCGCTCCACCTCCATGCCCGTCCGTCGAGGAGATGCCATTTGACCCAGCCCCTTTAGGACAATGTGGATGGCTTCCTGGTGGAGATCTGACCCGTTCCCTGTCGATCCGTTTTGTTCCCGGCCTGCTGAGCTGGATTCCTTCCTGGTCGTATGTGGAAGAGATCATCTGAACCAGGCTTCCTCCACCTCGGCCCTTCAGGTGGTTCCGTTCCATATATGATCAGGAAGCGATCCAGTTCTTCAGGCTTGATCAATGGGGAATGGACCTCCCCATTGTTCCTGACCACCGGTCCAGCTAGCTAAGGATCATGGGAGGTGTGGGCCAACCACATCTGGAGGAGGCCTGTTGTAGACTAAGAGGATCTCATCTCCACCATGCAGTGCAGACCCTCCCAAGAAGGAGAGATGCCCGGCGCCCAATGGAGACGCTTGGCGGGGGAAATTCTGACCTGATGCCCCTGCTTTGGGTTCAAGACGTACCTGGCATGGTCTTGTTGGGCCCCGTACAGAGGACCTGCTGCACCAAGCCTCCGGTGCTGTTGGTGAGGGCTTTGCACTTGCCGTCGGCCAGGGTCTCCTTGACGTAGACGAACGGCTCCTGGTGAATGGTGACAATCTGGGGGGGGGAGGGGAAACAGCCCCCCCAAAAGTGAGAAGATGGATCACCGTCCTCTTCCCAGCCAAATCGGCTTCTCAACCCCTCTCCTGGAAGGGGAGAGTTGGACGCAGGGATGCCAACATGGAATTCAGAAGTGGTTGAGATGGAAGGGGCTCCATGGTCATCTAGACCAACCCCCCCCAAGTGCAACGATCTTCACTCAAGCACCCGGGACTCCAAGGAAGGAGAGCCGGCTTGCTTGCGTCCCACAAATTTCTCCTGGACGTCAGGCCGGGCTCTCCTTTCTTGGAGCTGGAAGCCATGGGTTCAAGTCCTACCCTCTGGAGCGGGAGGACTTGTTCTTTCTTCCAGGCGAAAGCCCTCGAGATATTTGAAGACGGCTCTCATATCTCCTCATCCTCAGACTGAGTGTTCCTATCTCCTTTGGCAGTTCCTCCGAAGGCTCGGCTTCTGGACCCTCAATCATCTTGAGATGTTTGGCTCTAAAGAGAGCCATTTCCTTCAACTGTTCCTCCCAAGGGACCCTCCGTCATCTTGAGATGTTTGAAGATGGCCTAACATCTCTTCTCAGCCTCCTCTTTTCTGAGCTAAAGAGAGCCATCCCCTTCAAACGTTTCTGCTAAGGTTGAGCTTCTAGACCCTCAACCATCTTAAGATGTTTGAAGGTGGTTCCCATATCTCCTTGGTCTCCTCTTCTCCATCTCCTCCGAAGTTCCTAACCGTTCCTCCTAAGGCTCAGCTTCTAGACCCTCAAACATCTTGATGTTTGAAGATGGCCCTATCATCTCCTCTCAGCCTCCTCTTTTCTGGGCTAAAGAGAGCCATCTCCTTCAACCTTTCCTCTAAGACTCAGCTTCTAGACCCTCAAACATCTTGAGATGTTTGAAGATGGCTCTCATATCTCTTGCTCTCCTCTTCCCCAGCTCCTTCAACTGTTCCTCACCAGGCTGACATTAGGGAGGGAGGGAGGTGGAGCAGAGGTGATACCTTGAGCTTGGTAGACATCTCGTAGCCCTGGGGCGTCTCGGTTTCTCCTCCCGGCCAGATGATCTTGCGGTCGTTGGGCAGGAACTGCGGAGGTGAAGAGAGAAAGGTTGGGACCAGACCTTCTCTACCAGCCTTCCCTGATAAATGACCATAGAGTCAGAATGGGACCCACGAAGGTCAGCCAGTCTGACCCCCAGGCCAGGCAGGGCCCTCCCATCCAGGGATACTTACGTGGCTGCCGTTGTAGACGCCGACCTGCACCAACTTGTTGTTCTGCAGGTTCATGACACTGTAATTGGCGTACTTGCGGTCCCCGTCCTCGTTGAACTCCACCCGGCCCGTCACACCCTCGGCGTACTTCGTCTGCATCAGTACCCTGGGGAGAAGGCGGGTTGATCGGGATGCGGAGGGATGGAAATGTCTCCCACGAAATTATGGACTTCCTACCATCCCCTCTGACATTTCTCCCATGAGATTACAGACGTCCTATCACCCCTTCTGACGTTTCTCCCACAAAATTATGGACTCCCTACCACCCCTTCTGACATTTATGCCACCAAATTATGGACATCGTACCATCATCTCCAACATTTATCCCATGAAAATACGGACATCCTACCATCCCCTCTGACGTTTCTCCCATGAAATTACAGATGCCCCACCACCCCCTCCATAAAGAACCCAGGTCTAGATATAAGGATTTATTGGAAAATAAAACCCCAAGGTGGCTGTCACCGATGGAAGCGAAAGCCTTGAAAAAGCTCAATATGGAGGTCAAATGGCCGAAATATTGGGAAATTTTGGAACAAGATGGAGATAGATTGAAATTGCAGAGTTTTGACAAACTAAAAAACAAAGTGCGAGACTGGCTTCATTATTATCAGATAATGGAGGCATACAATTTGGACAAAAAAATTGGCTTCCAGGTGGAAAAATCAAAATTAGAAACAGAATTGTTAGAACCCAAAACTAAAATTTTGCCAAAGATGTATAACTTGCTGTTGAAATGGAATACTCAGGATGAAACGGTGAAATCTGCTATGATTAAATGGGCACAAGATATTGGACATAATATTATGTTTGCTGACTGGGAACAGTTGTGGACCACAGGTATGAAATTTACGGCATGTAATGCCTTAAGAGAAAATATTATGAAAATGATATACAGGTGGTACATAACCCCAGTCAAGCTTGCAAAAATCTACCATTTGCCTGATAATAAATGTTGGAAATGTAAAGAAACTGAAGGTACATTTTTCACCTTTGGTGGACGTGCCCAAAGATTAAGGCTTTCTGGGAGATGATATATAATGAACTAAAAAGGTATTTAAATATACCTTCTTGAAGAAACCAGAGGCCTTTCTCCTGGGCATAGTCGGCCAATCGGTGTTAAAAAGGACAGAACTTTCTTTATGTATGCTACAACAGCAGCAAGAATACTCATTGCAAAGCATTGGAAGACACAAGATCTACCCACACTGGAGGAATGGCAGATGAAAATGATGGACTACATGGAATTGGCGGAAATGACTGGCAGAATCCGTGACCAGGGAGAAGAGTCGGTGGAAGAAGATTGGAAGAAATTTAAAGACTATTTACAGAAATATTGCAAAATTAATGAATGTTAGAATGATGTTGGATTGAAGTTAAGTGGTTTCTAGCTGTACAGGTACAAAAGAATATGGAAAAATTGGTTTTTACTATGTAAAAATTTAAAGTTATAATATATCAAGATTAAAGATTAGGATGGATTAAAAAGGAGGGAAAGGAATTGTTGGATTAACAAATTTAATTGGAATACAAAAGAGGGAGGTATGAGGAGGTCCGGGAAACAAGTAAACGTAAAAGAAGTGAGGAAAAGATGGAATTGTTTTTAACTGTTTTTTCTTTTTTTCTACTTTGTATTTTTCCTTTCCATTGTTAATTTTTTTTATTAATGTGATTTTTTTTCCCCTTTGAAACTTTAATAAATATTATTTAAAAAAAACAAAACACAAAGAACCCAGGTCCGAGGTGCCCAGGACGCTCTTACCTCTTGAAGAGTGGCCCCGTCTTCCAGATGTTGGTGTTCCCCACGCACCCCCTGGGTGGGTCGGTGATGTTCTCCTTCTCAAACAAGTTGTGGACTGCCTGGGCCACCATGGCCACCGCGTCCCGGATGTGAGCCGACTCGTTCTTGCCGTTCATGAGTTGTAGACCGATGAGACCTGGGACGGGGGTGGGGTGGGGGGTGGAGACAGATGACTGGGTTGGCTGGGACCCCAGAGTGAACTCGCTGCGGGGCGGAGACCTCCGAATGGATTTAGAGAAGGGAAGGAGAGCACCGCTGGGCGATCAACCATGGGGCAGCTGGACCATGGGGAGGGGTCCCAGGTTACCTTCTGGCGCATTGCGTAGGGCATTGCCGGAGATCTCCCGTTCCCCCACCAGCCAGACGTAGCCGGGACCTGTCATGTTTTCTTTGGCTGCGGCCGTGTAGACAGTGGTGGCGTCGTCCTCACTGGAGAAAGAGAAGAAGGCTGTTGGGATGGTAGGACGTTCGTATTTTGGTGGGAGAAACGGCGGAGGGGATGGAATAGGAGGTCCCTATTTCCTTGGGAGAAATATCAGAGGGGATGGTAGGACGTCAGCATTTTAATGGGATAAATTGTGGGTGGTAGGTGGGTGGTAGGACATCCATAATTTCATGGGAGAAACGTCGCAGGGGATGCTAGGATGTCCCTATTTTCGTGGGATGAATTCTGGAAGGAATGGAATAGGACATCCCTATTTTCATGGGATAAATGTCAGAGGCAATGGTGGAAGTCCATATTTTCATGGGATGAATTCTGGAAAGGATGAAATAGAAGGTCCCTATTTTCATGGGAGAAACATTAGAGGGGATGGTAGAAGTCTATATTTTCATGGGATGAAATCTAGAAAGAATGGAATAGGAGGTCCATATTTTCATGGGAGAAACGTCAGAGGGGATGGTGGGACGTCCATATCTTCATGGTAGGAACATCATGGTAGAACTCTCATAATATCATGGGAGAAACATCGGAGGGGATAGCAGGATGACCCTATTTTCATGATATAAATTCTGGATGGGATGGAATAGGAGGTCCCTATTTTCATGGTAGGAACATCAGAGGGGATGGTAGAAGTCTATATTTTCATGGGATGAAATCTAGAAAGAATGGAATAGGAGGTCCATAGTTTCATGGGAGAAACGTCAGAGGGGATGGTCGGACGTCCATATCTTCATGGTAGGAACATCAGAGGGGATGGTAGAAGTCCCTATTTTCATGGGATAAATTCTGGAAGGGATGGAATCAGAGGTCCCTGTTTTCATGGGAGAAACCTCAAAGGGAAACGTCGGAGAAGTTTGAACGGGGGAAAAATGGGGGTCGCCTCCACTCACCTGACCCCAACCCCGCCCCACCGGCCGGCCCTCACCTGGCAGACAAGATGATCACCCTGGCCTCCAGTTCCTTGGCTTCCAGGAGGAGAGACGTCACGTTCTTGGTGCCCGGCTCAAACTGAAGGACCTTCTCGGCCTGCAAGGTTGGCGCGAGCAAATGGGGTCAGTCGGCTGGGCCCCGATCCCCCATGCGAGAGCCATGCTTTCCTCAGAAAGATACCTCCTTCTCTCTTTCCAAGGTCTACCTGGAAAGGACTCAGTTGTTCCTCATTTCTTTTCCTTGGTTTTTTTTTCTCCCCCCCATTCATTCTTTCTTTCTTTTCTTTTCTCCTGCCGGGGTTAATTTCCTCCCCACCCCCCTTAAAAAATTAAAAATCTAATTTTTTATTTTATTTTCTATTTTTAAAAAAGAATCATTTTTCTTTGTTGTTGCACTGGGCATGCAAACAGAAGTCACTCCAGCCCCAAAAGAAGGTCGTGCATTGGTACAGGAAAGAGGAAAAAAAGGCATATATAGAGATACACAGCGGCCGCCAAAGTGATTCCATCCACCGTGGCAAATTGATTTCTTGCTATTTGTTTTGTGCAAAAAAAAAAAAAAATCTTGCAAAATTTCCTTTTTTTTTTTTTTTTTTTGCAAATTCTGCAGAATTCCCGACGTCTCGGGAATTGCCGACCTGCCTTTTTCGCTCTGTCGTCGCCGTCTTTGCGACGGCGAGGGAGCCCCTCAGGCGGCAACTGCGAATATCCATATATTGGTTGTCTGGCTGGTTTTGCGATGCAGTTGACTGCTCAAACGCCTGTTGCTCTTCCAAAAAACAAAATAATAATAATAAAAAAAAACAGGAAAAGGGGAGGAAGGGGGAGGGGAAAAACACGCAAGGGGTCCGCCTTGCAAGGGAATTGAAGTGAGCATCTCGCATTTCCTGTTGGGACAGGAAGGGGCAGAGCAGGAAGAGTAGAGCAGGAAGGGGGAATCAGATGGTCCAGGAGGAAACAAGGGGGTGGGGAATAAACTCGCAAATTCGCTCTGGCTCCACATGCATGGTCTTCCGAAGAAAGACGTCCAGGATGGGATTGCTCCTCAAACTCAAGCTCAAACCAAGCATATCTCAACGGAAAAGAACGTGCGACCCAAAAAAAAAACCATGGAGTCTGCTTGCTGGCTCCAGAGATATTTTATATTTTTTCCCTTTAATATATATATATATATATATCTATATATATCTAAAATTTATTCTAATTTTTGTGGGGTGCCCGTGGGCCGAGGCGGCCCGATTGATGAATTTTATGAATTTTTTAATTTTAATTTTTTTGCTCGTTAGGTTGGTGGGCGGCGTGCATTTCCATGCAAATATACCTTGGGTCCTCGCTTGATGTCAAAGGATAGCGGTTCGAGGCTGTCAAAGCTCCTTTTTTTACTCTGATGGATAATGTGCACAGAGAAAATATGCAGACACAGAAGAAGATTATAAACAGTTGAAAGAAGAAAGACGGGCACTCAAAGCAAATCCCATATCCAACTCCTCCTGATCCAGGGCGGGGGGGCCGTAACAGAGGAGCAGGGAAAACCCCCTACAAGCTTTCCTATTCAGTTTCCTACAAGGTTTCCTATTAAATTTCCTACAAATTTTCCTGCAAAGTTTCCTACAAGGTTTCCTATTAAGTTTCCTGCAAAGTTTCTTACTAAGTTTTCTATTAAGTTTCCTTCAAGGTTTCCTATTAAATTTCCTACAAACTTTCCCGCAAGGTTTCCTATAAAGTTACTAAAAAGTTTCCTAGAAGGATTCCTCTGGGGGTTACTAGAGGGGCTTCTTAAAATGTTTCTGATGGGGGTTCCTGACCAGGTTTCCTATGGGGTTTTCCTATTAAATTTCCTACAAAGTTTTCTAAGACGTTTCCTACAAGATCTCCTATGGGGGTTTCCTAGGAAGTTTCCTTGGGGGTTCATGCAAGTTCTTCCTCTCCTTTAAATCGGTGAAGGTACCTTGCGAGTTTCTGAGGGCAGCTGGACATTTTCATGGGAGAAATGTTGGAGGGGATGGTGGGTTGTCCCTCTTCCCAAATGTTGGTAGACCTCTGAATGCTGGCCGCTTGGAGTGAAAAGCGGGGGCAAGGCCGCCACCCTCAGCTCCTTCCTCCCTGCAGGATTCTCGACGGCCACTGAGAAGAGGACCATGGACTGGATGTCCTGCCTTTGGTCTGATCTAGGAAGGCTACCCATATATGTCGACTTGGCCGACGTGGGGCCACCGCTCACACCATGCGCCAAGGAGGCTCAGCTTCAAAGCCCCGCTCCGCCATTTCCGCCGTAGAAATGTCAGAGAGGATGGAGCCACGCGGGCCCCCAACCCAGGAGAGAAGGAATTGGATCTTCAGAAGAAGCTCGGATTGGGGGAAGTTGTGGATGATTGGACCTTTTATGGTGTTATTCTAGAGGTTGGAGCGTCTGGGGCAACCCAGTCTGATGGGTGGGGGTATAGATGACAAAATTATGACCATTAAGACTGATCAGATTGTTGCGTTGACCATGAGCTTCTTTGGAGAAGAGGAAGGAAGCAGGTAAGGAGAGCTGCTTATCCCTGCCTCACAAGTCTCTCTTGGGGCTCCTTCCCAACTCTATGATTCCATCTTGAGGTTCCTGCCTTGGTTGAACCAGACAACCCTTCCAGGTCCTTCCCAAGTCCATGATCCAAGCCTACCCTCCTAGACACTCTCTTCCAATAAGGAAGTGGGTTTTTGGCCCAGCTCCAGGTTACGTCCCGCCCCCGTCTCCCCGTTTTTGCCTCTTTCGGATTTCTTTTTTTTTTTTTTTTTACGTAGTCGGAGATTTCGGGTTTTTTCGACCATGGCAAAGCAAGTGAAATGAATAAAGAGTAACAAACTTTGGTCAGGGACTTAGACGGCCGGCGCTTAAGAGCACAATGTGGGTCATGTTTAACAATGGGAAGAAGAGAGAGAAGGTGTATTTACAGATGTCAATCTACACACGGACGACAAAGCGCGAGACTTTCGAGAGAAGCGTGGGTGGCGGGAAGCTACTGACCTTGGACTCTTTCTCCTCCAGGAGGGTCTCCAGCTTCTTCTGGGCCGCCCGGCCCTCGTGGTCGTCGCTGACGATGAGGATGATGTGGTTCCATTTGTAGAAGCGCATCATCTCAAACCAGACATTGGACTGGTGAGAGTAAGGAGGGACCGTGCGGAGGAACGAAAGGTGGATGCTCTGGGGAGAGAAGGAGCCAGAGGGGGCGTCACTGCGGACCAGGCGGGGGCGTCCGGGTTGAAGCGCCGTCCCTCCTACAGGGTGGAAGGAGCCTCTGGAGAAGTTCCATCTTGAGACCCCACCTGCCTCTGCAGAGAGGTCCATGCTCTGCTCAGCTACTGCGTTCTCCATGGGGCTACCTTGGAAGGGGACCTAGAAAGGAGTTGGGGCAACATCCCTCCTATGGGGTGGAAAGAGCCTCTTGAGGTCTTCCATCTTGAGACCCCACCTGCCTCTCCAGAGAGATCCATCCTCTGCTCATCTCCTGCTGTCTCCATGGGAAGGTGAGTTGGAGATGAGATTGAGGAACATCCCTCCCCTGGGGTGGAAGAACATCTCTAGTATCAGCTCCATCCAAGACCTGGCCATCTGCTTGGTCTACTGCCCTGCTTTCTCCATGGGGCTACCTTGGAAGGGGACCTGGGAACCATTGTGGACAATGGCCCTCCTGCGCAGTGGAAGGGCCTCTTTAGGAAGCCAATGGGAAAGATCTCCAGAAGGTTTGAGCTGGGTATCCACCAGTATGGGGAAGATACAAAGCTCTACCTTTCCACCAGAAGGTTTGGGCTGGGCGCTCACCAGTATAGGAAAGATACCCAGTGTCCTTTCAACCAGTGAAGGTGGTGTGGGTCTGGAGGAGCTTGGAAGACAGACAGACGCCGACTCCTGAGAAGAATGAATGGCTGTTTCTGAGGAGCATGGGGCACCAGACATGGTCTGATATGGAGTTACCATGCCTCTAATGGACCAGCCATTCTGGACTCACCGGGGTCCATCTCCGAGGGTCTCCTGGCGGCTCCCTCCAAGCAAGAAGCGAAGTGGCGGGGAACCGGGCAGAGGAGAAGTCAAGGCCTTCTCTCACCAGATGTCCAGGAGAATGGCGGGTCCCGACCAGCGGGAGCTGTGGGCTTACCTTGTCTGAGTAAATGGACATGCGCGTGGTCAAGCCGATGACCGGGATCCGGTAGAAGCCAGCAGTGTATGACACCGGTGTCGGCGTGAGGTGGTCGTTGGGAGCCGGCGGGTGACTCACCAAGATGGCGTAGACCTGTGGGAGAGACGTTTTCCCGATGGAATTACGGACGTCCTAACATTCCCCTCCGATGTTTCTCCCATGAAAATATGGACATCCTACTCTCCCCTCCGATGTTTCTCCCATTAAATTATGGATGTCCTATCACCTTGGCAACAAAGATCCATATACTTCAAGCTATGGTTTTCCCACTAGTGATGTATGGAAGTGAGAGCTGGACCATCAAGAAGGCTGATCACCGAAGAATAGATGCTTTTTTGGTGCTGGAGGAGACTCTTGAGAGTCCCATGGACTGCAAGAAGATCCAACAGACCTATTCTGAAGGAAATCAGCCCTGAGTGCTCACTGGAAGGACAGATCCTGATGCTGAGGCCTCAAGACTTTGGCCACCTCCTGAGAAGAGAAGAGTCCCTGGAAAAGACCCTGATGTTGGGAAAGATGGAGGGCGCAAGGAGGAGGGCGCAAGGAGACAGAGGATGAGATGGTGGGACAGTGTTTTCAAAGTGATCAACATGAGTTTGATCAAACTGTGGGAAGCAGTGGAAGACAGGAGGGCCTGGCGTGCTCTGGTCCATGGGGTCACGAAGAATCGGACATGACTAAACGACTCAACAATAACAACAAGAAGCCATTCCCCTCCGACGTTTCTCCCATTAAATTATGGACGTCCTCGAATGCCCAGGCTTTGACAGGCAGAGAGAGAAGTCGGCCGAGCCAGATTGCAAGATAATATGATTTCCTTAACCGCACATTTAAGGCCTAAATGCCATTTCCCCTTCAGGGACTATTTATGATGAAATGGTCTGGCAAGAAGGAGGCGAAGAGCAATCGATGGAAGGAACCAACCCTATGGAAGCAACTGAGATGGCGTTTCCATGGAAACTTCCTCCTCCCTTTGCTGGCTTCTCCTATAAATGGCCTTTTCTGCTCCGTTTGGGGAAAGAAGGAAGTCTGTAAATGTCGATCAGGTCTGCAATTTGGGTGGCTTCGAAGGAGATACCAAATGAGACATAAATGGGGTCAAAATAGCACCATTTGATAACTTGGGGACCCGGTTTGTTCCTTGGGAAATGGGCTGTGTTGGGGTATTTTTAAGGTCCGAATATGTGGGTGTGTAAGAGGGAAGGAGGGAGGGAGAGAGGGGGAGAGAGAAGGAGAAAAAGAGAGGGGAGAGGGAGGGAGGGAGGGAGAGAAAGAGAGAGGGGAGAGAGGTGGGGAGAGAAATAAAGAGGGAAAGAGAGGGAGAGAAAGAGAGGGAGAGAAAGAAAAAGAAAGCGGGATAGAAGGAGAAAAAATAAAGAGAGAAAGAGGGGGAGAGAGGGAGGAAGAGGAAAAAAGGGGAGAGAAAGGGGGGAGAGGTAGGGAGAGAAATAGAGAGAGAGAGAGAGAGAGAGAGAGAGAGAGAGAGAAAGTGGGAGGGAGAGACATGGAGAGAAGGAGAAAAAATAAAGAGAGGAAGAGAGGGGGAGCAAGGGAGGAAGAGGAAAAAGGGAGAGAAAGATAGGGGAGAGAGGGGAGAGAAATAAAGAGAGAAAGAGAGGGAGAGAAAGAAAAAGAAAAAGGGAGAGAGAGAGGGAGGGAGAGAAGGAAAAAGAGAGAGAGAGAGAGAGAGAGAGAGAGAGAGAGAGAGAGAAAGAAAGAAAGAAAGAGAGAGAGAGAGAGAGAGAGGGGTATCCCTGGGCTGGTGCCCCAAGCCAAAAGGCTTGGTCCATAGGGTCAAGGGGTTGTTGGCTGGCCCTTAGAAGGGTCAAGAAATCCCTAGGCCGGTCCTTAGGGTGGTAGGGTCCCAAGGTCAGTCTCAGCGGCCCGCAGATCCCTAGGTTGGTGCCCAAACCCACACTCTGGTTCAAAGGATCCCGGGGTCCCTGGGTGTTCCTTTCTAGGGCCAACCAGTCCATGAGGTCAAGGAGCCCCTAGGCTAATTCTTGAGGACTGGAAGGGGGTCCCTAGGGTGGTCTCTAGGGCCAAGAGTGTCCTATGCTGGTGCCCCAAGCCCACAGTCCACAGGATCCAGGGGTCCCTGGGTGGTCCTTTCTGTGGCCAACCAGTCCACCAGCCCAGAGAGAGAGAGAAAGAGAAAGAAAGTGGGAGGGAGAGACATGGAGAGAAGGAGAAAAAACAAAGAGAGGAAAAGAGGGGGAGCGAGGGAGGAAGAGAAAAAAGGGAGAAAAAGATAGGGGAGAGAGGTAAGGAGAGAAATAAAGAGGGAAAGGGGGGAGAGAAATAAATAGAGAGAGGGAGGGAGGTGGCAGAGAAGGAGAAAAAATAAAGAGAGGGGGAGCGAGAGAAAGAAAGAAAGAAAGAAAGAAAGAAAGAAAGGAAGGAAGGAAGGAAGGAAGGAAGGAAGGAAGAAAGAAAGAAAGAAAGAAAGAAAGAAAGAGGGGTTGTCCCTGGGCTGGTGCCCCAAGCCAAGAGGCTGGTTCATAGGGTCAAGGAGTTGTTGGCTGGCCCTTAGTAGGGTCAAGAAGTCCCTAGGCCAGTCCTTAGAGCTGAAGGTTCCCTAGGTTGGTTTCTAAAGCCAAGGGCTCCCTGGGCTGGCCCCCCAAGCCTGATCCATAGGTCAATGGATCCCTGGGTGCTCAATAGTAGGGCCAAGGGGCCTCTGGTCGTCTCTTAGGGCTGAAGGTTCCCTAGGTTGGTTTCTAAAGCCAAGGGCTCCCTAGGTTGGTGCCCCAAGCCCACAGTCTGGACCATAGGGACAAGAGGTCCTTGGCCAGTCCTGAGTAGAACCATGGGGTCCCTAGGCCAGTCCTTAGGGCGGTAGGGTCCCTAGGTTGATCTCTGTGGCCTGCAGGTTCCTAGGTTGGTGCCCCAAGCCACAGTCCACAGGATCCAGGGGCCCCTGGGTGGTCCTTTCTGGGGCCAACCAGTCCACCAGGTCAAGAGCTTGGCCCATCACGTCGAGGAGGAGTCCCTAGGGGGTTCTTGGGCGGCGCGGTGCGGCTACCTGGCTGGAGATGAGGTCCTCGCAGACGGAGAGGGCCATCTGGATGGCGTTGGGCTTGTGGGTGACGGAGGTGGCGTTGAGCTGGATCTTCCAGGTGCCATGGCGCTTGTTGGCCTGGTTGATGGCCTCGCGGAAGACCTGCTCGTGCCTCTTGGTGCTCAGCACCGCCCCGATGTTCACCACCTTGGGCTCGCAGCCCCCCCGCGCCACCGAGAAGCACAGCAGCACGGCCAGCAGCAGGAGGCGCATGGCGGTCACCCCACCGTCGCCCGGCGCAGCCCAAGGGCCCCCCAGGCGGCGGAGAACTGCCACGCAAGAGGGTCTATCCGTGGTCCTGAAGCGGCCCTGTGGAAGAAGCAGAGGCGGCTGCTGTCCCTGGTGCTGAATTGGCCCTTTGCAAAGGCCGCTGTCCCTGGTGCTGAATTGCCACCGCTGGCAAAAAACGTCACAGTCCCTGGTGCTGAATTAGCACCCCTGCAAAAAAAACTGCAGCTGTCCCTGGTGCTGAATTCGGGGCCCCCTGCAAGACGCCGCTGTCCCTGGGGCTGAATTGCCCCCCCTGCAAAAAAGCCACTGTCCCTGGTGCTGAATCCCCCCCCCGCCCCCGCAAAAAATTCACAGTCCCTGAATGCCCACCCCCTTGCAAACAGCCGCCGGATCTCCCCGCAAAAAAAGGGGGGGGGTCGGCCCCGTCCGCGGTGCTGAAGCACAATGGCGCTGTCCGCGGCGCCGAAATTCCCCTGCAAAGACAGGCGCGCACCCGTGCGCGCGGCCGCGCGCAGGAGAGGAGGAGGAGGAGGCAGCGGCAGGCCAATGCGGCGGCGTTTGGTGTCGGGTGGGGGGGGCAGGGCTTGGGGCGAGAGGGGGGAGGGAGAGATAAAAGCGGGGTGGGGATGGGGGGCTGGAGAAATCGCGGGGGGAGCATAGGAAATCAAGAGATTGGCCGCCCCAAAAAAATCTTTATAGTATGTGCCCCTTAATATACAAAGCAGGGGGGCCGCTCAAGAGTTCCCCCCACCCCGTCAATCTTCCTAGGATGTACCCCCCCCCAATACAAAGCAGAGGTGGAGGAAAGTCAAACCTCCCCGCTCAAGAGATTCGCCCCCCCCCAATATATTTATAGAATGTGCTCCCCAATATACAAAGCAGGGGGACCGCTCGAGAGATTCCCCCCACCCTGTAAATCTTTATAGAATGTGCCCCCAATATACAAAACAGGGGGGCTGCGGAAAGCCAAAGCTCAAGAGATTCGCCCCCCTGGACTACAGCTCCCGTCATCCCTGAGCTCTGGCCTTGCTAGCTAGGAATGAAGGGAGTTGCAGTCCAACAACATCTGGGGAGCCACAGCTGCTAGTCTCTGCTTCTCAATATTGTATAGTTTGATGTACTGTGGCTTGCCATTGTTTTATTGATTGTGGTATAGCAATTATTTCTCTTTAACTTTTATATGTTTATATGGATTTCTGGATTTTATATGGATTGATATGTTTATATGGATATATAACTTTTATATATTATATGGATTTCTCTTGAACTTTTTACCTTATTCCCTAGTCTAATCATGGTTTAATGTTACTTTATTGGATGTTGCTTGCTTATTTTAAATTTTTCTTTTATTATCACATTTTTCTATTGCATTCGATTATCAGGTGTACATTTTTGTTTCTCCATCTTGCAAACCGCCTTGAGTCTTGTAAGGTAGAAAGACGGTATACAAATAAAAAATGATGATGATGATAATGATTATTATTATTATTAATTTATGATGGTGATTTATTTCCTTCTCTCCTTCTTCCTGGGAGGTTCGTACGGCCCTCGGTACCGTGTTCCAGATGCGAGATCGCTCCCTTGCGGCGGGTCAGGCCACATGACCCACGCTCCCCTTTCCAGCTCTTCCATCCCGTGCTCCCGAATCCGGGCAGCGGACGCCCCCCCCCCCCATACACACACACCCTGGCTGATTTTCAGATTTCCCTTAAATAACCCCCCCCCCCACAAAAAAACCACAGTTATATATATATAGGAAGGAAGGAGGGAGGGAGGGGAGGGGAGGGAGGGAAGGAAGGAAGGAAGGAAGGAAGGAAGGAAGGAAGGAAGGCAGGAACGAACGAACACCACCAAAACTACCACCCAGGGAAAGCGGGACGCCGCCCGGTCTGCCCGGCGAACCCGGAGCTGCGTTTCTTCCTCCTCCTCCTCCCTCCGCCCTCCAAGCTGGAGTGGCTACAAGGGAAAGCCGCCCGAGGAAGCAGACCCTCCGAGCACCCCTTTCTCTCCCGGGATAGAAGAATCCAGCCCAGTTTCTGCCGAGATCCCGGAAGGTTCCGCTGTTCTGTGGGACGTCCCTATTTCCATCGGAGAAATGTCGGGGTCTATGCCAACGCCCACCGCTGGAGGGGAGACTTTTTAAATAAATCCCTGCGGTTACGAACAGGAGAAATAAACGGAGAGTCATGCAGGGGGAGTTTGCGAAGGCGGAAAGCCGTCTTTTCCGGCCGAGACCTTTCCCCTTTTGGAATACCACCCGCCCAATATCTCGTGACAGCACTGCTCAACCAAAGGATCCATGCTGGGATAACAGTCACATGGTATTAAGCATGTCCTACTAGATATGATATGAGTCCTTAAATTTATTGGTAGATGAGAAACCAAATGGCCACGTCACCAGCACTTTGGTTTTAAAGGAGTTGTGACATTGCTAGCATTAAATACCAGTTGCAAAATAGTTCATGTTGCTTCCTTAAAGAATAAATAAATCCCTCAATAGTGCTAACTGGTAAAGCTGTCATACGGTAGGTACTTTTCTTGCCTTAAATAACCACTCCACATTCTCATGAGTTCCTGCTTGGCCATGAGTAAAAGTGACCTGAATTATCCCACTGCTGGGAGCCCCTCCACTTTCCATTTCACTGCTCCTTGGCTTTGCCACTGTAATAAAAGACCCTGAGGCTGCTGTAATCTATCTCATAGCCATGACTATGTTACTGTCTCTTGAAGAGTTCCCACCTGGGAATACTGAACAACCTGGCTGGTTTTCATGCACTCAGATTTTTCACTTGAAACATTAGGAGCGAATATATATCTTTGGCTGCAATTTTATGCACACTCTGAATAAGGTCCATTAAACAGCGGAACTTTAGAAATGCAATCATAAACACACCACAGAGTAAGTCCTTTGCATACAACTTTTACTTTCAAGTATATGCATATAGAAGTGCACTCTTAAGTACAGTCCATAGCATTCCATCATTTGCCTCCAGGAGACACATCGCTTCTGATTGTGCTCCCCACCCCACCCACCCACCCCGTGCCCCCACCCTGCCTCCTGCTTTCTTCCAGGTGTTCCTTTCCAAAAAGTAACAGGGAGTGTGGGAAGGGGAGTCATGTACATTGAAACACCAATTATGGCTGATATAAATTATTTCAGTTACAATAAAGCAGTGATGGAGAACCTCAAACTTGAAGGTCAGTTTAGGCCTGGCAAGGGTGGCAGTTTGATTTGGGATGCCCTTTTCCCAGCCCAGTCCACCTTTCAAATTTAGCCTGCAAGGAGTAGAGGTGATAAGGTATAAAGTAAAAGCCAATGGAGATAATAGGTTGCATTTCTATTTCTCTTTGCATGCGTGGGCACACACACACACACACACACACACACAGAGAGAGAGAGAGAGAGAGAGAGAGAAAGTCTACAGGTTGGGAGATGGGTTTTAAGCTTCTGTGACACAAGAGGCTTTATGTTGAGTATTCCCAGTATTGTATGGGGAAAGCCATGACTGCTTAAATTCCTATACTACTCATATAATTATTAGTGTGAATATGTCTTAATCTCTGCTGTGTTGTAGCATGTATCAAGAAAGTTATGTAATGAAAGGAAAGTCTGAGCAGAGTAGGAAATTTGTTGTATAAATTGTGGACTTTCATTTAGTGAAGGACTTGATGGGCAACTTAATAGGGGGAAACACCCCTTTCCAAGGCCCTATGTTTAGGGGAGTCCTGGGGCTGATGGCCAACCCAGCTGCTCCTGCATCCCTTCGAGGTTCTCCACCTCCTGCCTTCAAAGAGCAAGACGGAAAGAAAGTAGTGGAGACAGTGGAGCTTATCAACACTTTCACCACTAAAACAGAGGTAACAGGGAAAATGTAATATGACGAAGGTAACTGTCACTAAAGTGGTAGCAAAAATGGAGAATTAAGCTGGGACCAGCACTGAAGGGGCCATCACTGCCACCACTGCCATGAAGAGGCAGAGGAATGCTAGAGGCAGTGGAAAGGTGAAGGCAACAGGAGGCCTTAACTGGAACACTTTCTAACTAGAATTCACAAGAAAATTCATTGATGAATAAGACAGTGGTGGGAGAGACCACACATGAGGTTTTTTTAAAACAAAAAAACACCTTGAGCCGTAATGTATGTAAATTGATTAAGGCTTGCCAGCTTTGGACTAGCTCCTCTCCTCTGCTTTAACAGCAGCTTGATATGCAAACTTTGGGTTTTCCCAACAAAGTCATTCCATTCATACAATGGAACTTCCCCTTCTTCTCCTCCTCTCCTCTCCTCCCCCCCCCCCAAAAAAAATCTGTTCTGGGTTTTACCCCAACCCTCCTGAGGAGATTTGAGGAGAGGGAAGGAAAGTTCCCTTGATAAAGCAGAAGTCTTTGTGGAATAGGAGGCATTTGTTAGGTGCAAAATGTGTTTATTATCTACATATCCTGAAGACCTTCACTTGCTGATTTTTGCAGAACAAGCTGCTGATAAAAGGCACAAGTGTAATTCCAGTACCACCCTGGTCAGCTGGCAGCCCTACCTGCAGCACACACAACAACCTTAAAACTTTCTCACCACCTTCCAAACTTTTGGCACTGCCCTTAGATTCCGTAGCTACTTTTTGTGGATCAGTGCCTTCCTACCCTTTAGTCCTTGTCAGGTTAAACAAGGGACAGGGAAGCATGTGGCCTTCCAGATATTGTTAGGCTTACAGTTTTCAACATCCCTGACCACTGGCCATGCTGGCTAGAGCTGATGGGAGTTGGGAGTCTTAACACCTAGAGAGCCACATGTTCCCATCCCTGCATTAAACTCTATGCTGCTGCCATCTGTTTTCAATGCAAGTTTCCTTTCCATTCCAGTTGTAGCTTTCGCATGCTATCTTATTGACTGTATCTCTATGTAAGTGGAATGAGTCATTGCCACGGGTTCTGCCCTGTTGAGATGACTTTCGTGGGAACCAGCCAGTGGGGAATGGTTTAATCT